AATTATAAAATATTTAAAAATAGAACACGCACGCAAACTACGTCGACATGTGATAATTTGATAAAAATTCGTGAAACTAAAATGTAGGCAAGGGTCACTCGGCATACAGCTATAACGATCATTGTGATATATTTCGAACATAATTATTATAATAATACCAGCAAAAGCTGAATTAATAAGTCAACAATGATAATAATAATAGTCTTTAGTCATAAATATACGGTAATTAAATACAGTTGGCCCTGGCTTTCGATATAGATAAAATTGTGCCACGAAAGCCAGTTCCCTCCAACATATTACATACAAAGCTGCCAGTATCTCAATTACTTGTCAAAGTTCAAACATAATTAAAACTATTTTATTCAAATGCCAATTTCTGAACGTTGTAACCTGGCGCTTCTATAAACTCGGTTTATAAACCTTAAGGTAACCATGACGGCCTCGGTTGTCTGGTGGTTTAGCACACCGTTTTACTGATGCCGATGATCATAGATTTAATTCCACGCTCGATCCAAACATTTGTATTCATGAGTATGATTGTTTGTATCGGTCTGGGTGTTTTCTATGTATATTATTTATGTATTTACAAAAAAATATATTTAAGTTTTTATATCAGTTATCTGGTAATCATAACATAACCTCTGCTTACACTGGGACTAAATGACACTGTGTTAATTGTCCAGGGTTATTTATTTTATTCATTTATTAAAGTGTGAGTTCAAATCCGGGCTATATAAAAAAATGACAGTTTTTTTGGATTAACTCTCTGGTTAAAGAAATACCGCTAACAAACGGAAAGCAATGAAGACAAATTTTACCTGAATATAAACTAGTATTTATTAGTACTCCTCGAAATGTTTACATGTTAAATATTTACGACAAGGACAAACATAAAGATTGCGAGCATACCGTTTACAGTTTCTATGTTCATTGTCGCATGCCTAATCCTTGTTAATGTAAATCTACTTAAAATATTTATTTAAAAGCGCAACACACAAGTTTCTTGCTCAGTCTTCTAGTGATGAGTCTGAGTTCCGAATGAGTGCTAGAATAAAAAAAGTGACTATTCAAAAGTGCTTATATTAAGTTTATTTAAATAAAGATTATTTCTATTTCTATTCTATTCTACTGTACTATTTTTAGCTATCGGTGTTATTAGTCCACATTACTAACAATCCTTTTGCTACCAAAGCCATGGGGGTTTTAATAACTGAAGTGAACTTCAATCCTTCACAAATAATCCTTACTATATATATAATATATTAAATGTGTCAGTAGGGATGTTTGTTACACTTTCACGCAAAAACTACTGAACCGATCATCATAAAATTTTGTACACGTGTTCTATGGACTATTAGAATGACATAAGATACTTTTTATTTAAAAAAAAACAGTTTTTTTTTATAAAAACAAAATATCAACATTTTGCTACTTCGGCGCCATCTAGCAGCTAGTAACGAAGTAATGCGAGCGAAGCCGCGGGTAAAATATTACAAATGCGAATGTTCGTAAGTATGGATGTTTGTTACTCTTTCACGCAAAAACTGCTGAACGGATTTTGATGAAACTTTACAGTAATATAGCTTATGCAGAATAACACATTGGCTATATTTTATATTTTAATTTAAAAGTAAAACCGCAGGCAGAGCTAGTATCGTATAAAGAAGCGAAGGACGCTTCGGGCGTCCCGGGCGACCGCCCATCAGCCGTCTAAATATAGTCTCGGCTAAAAATAACTACCCCCCCTCTAGCCCCCTCCCGCCCGCCCCCACTCCACCCCATCCGGCAAAGTGTTCCCACCACCCAATCTCCACCACAGCGCTACCCCGCGACCTACATTTAAATAGTCACCCTGGAGTTTCAGAATCCTGAAATGATTCCTAGAGTTTACTTCAGTGCTTTTGGTACTATATATGTTAAGTTTTGTAGCATTCCTTTTTAGTTACTAGCTAGTTACCTTGTTTTGACACATAGTTAAAGTATTTTGACAGTACTTTAACTCACAGATAACTAATAATAATAATAATCTCAGGACAATTCACACAGCGCCATCTAGACACAAGTTAAGCTAGCTAAAGCTTGTACGAAAAACAAAATCTATGCATTTGTATCAGTTATCTAATACCCATAAGGTACTAGATAACTGATACAAATACATAGATTTTTTTTTTCGTAAATACATATTATACATAGAAAACACCCAGACACAAACAATCATACTCATGAATATAATTGCACCGTGCGAGGAATCGAACCCACGACCATCGAAAGTAAAGCAGTGAGCTTAACCGCTAGACCACCGAGGTCAATTATAGTTACACTGATGACCTTTTACAAAGTGTTGTATTAAAATATGGTTGGCTAGTACCTTTTTACAGTTAGCATCTAATGGCTATGCTGCTATAGCCATTAGATCCTTCTCAACCAATCCAAAGACTATATGAGGAATGAAATGTAAAAAGCCTGAAGAGGAGCTGACCTCTTCGACTATAAAACAAGTAACACACACATCCTCTTGTAGTCTTATGACTAATCGCCGATTAACATGAAAAAAATCTTTTGTAGCATAGGGGACAAACGAATTTGCGGATCACCCGATGGTGAGTGATCACTGCCTATAAACATCTGCAACGCCAGGGGAATTGCAAATGCGTTATCAGGCTTTTAAGAATAAGCGCTATCTTGAAGGTTTCAATGTTGTATCGGTTGCAAATACACCTACAAGCAAAAAACAACAGGAAATTGCAAGTGCGTTGTCGGCCTATTAAAAAGGAATAAGTTCTGTTCTTGAAGGTTTCAATATCGTATCGGTTCGGAAATACACATCCAAGCAAAAAACATCACGGAATTGCAAGTGCGTTGTCCTTGTCGCCCTTTTAAGAAAGAACAAGCTCTATTCTTGAAGGTTTCAATATCGTATCGGTTCGGAAATACACATCCAAGCAAAAACACCAGGGAATTGCAAGTGCGTTGTCCTTGCCGTCCATTTAAAAAAGAATAAGCTCTTAAAAAAGAATAAGCTCTATTCTTGAAGGTTTCAATATCGTATCGGTTCGGAAATACACATCCAAGCAAAAAACATCAGGGAATTTCAAGAGTGTTGTCCTTGTTGCCCTTTTAAAAAAGAATAAGCTCTATTCTTGAAGGTTTCAATATCGTATCGGTTCGGAAATACACATCCAAGCAAAAATCTCCAGGAAATTGCAAGTGCGTTGTCCTTGTCGCCCTTTTAAGAAAGAACAAGCTCTATACTTGAAGGTTTCAATATCGTATCTGTTCGGAAATACACATCCAAGCAAAAATCTCCAGGAAATTGCAAGTGCGTTGTCCTTGTTGCCCTTTTAAGAAAGAACAAGCTCTGTTCTTGAAGGTTTCAATATCGTATCAGTTCGGAAATACATCTACAAGCAAAAATCTCCAGGAAATTGCAAGTGCGTTGTCCTTGTTGCCCTTTTAAGAAAGAACAAGCTCTGTTCTTGAAGGTTTCAATATCGTATCGGTTCGGAAATACATCTACAAGCAAAAACATCAGGGAATTTCAAGAGCGTTGTCCTTGTCGGCCTTTTAAGAAGGAATGAGCTCTGTTCTTGAAGGTTTCAACATCGTATCGGTTCGGAAATACACATCCAAGCAAAAATCTCCAGGAAATTGCAAGTGCGTTGTCCTTCTTGCCCTTTTAAGAAAGAACAAGCTCTGTACTTGAAGGTTTCAATATCGTATCGGTTCGGAAATACACATCCAAGCAAAAAACATCAGGGAAAAGAAAATGCGTTGTCCTTGCCGTCCTTTTAAAAAAAGAATAAGCTCTATTCTTGAAGGTTTCAATATCGTATCGGTTCGGAAAACACATCCAAGCAAAAACACCAGGGAATTGCAAGTGCGTTGTCCTTGTCGACTTTTTAAGAAAGAATAAGCTCTGTTCTTGAAGGTTTCAATATCGTATCTGTTCGGAAATACACATCCAAGCAACAAACATCAGGGAATTGCAAGTGCGTTGTCCTTGTCGACTTTTTAAGAAAGAATAAGCTCTGTTCTTGAAGGTTTCAATATCGTATCTGTTCGGAAATACACATCCAAGCAAAAAACACCAGGAAATTGCAAGTGCGTTGTCCTTGTTGCCCTTTTAAGAAAGAATAAGCTCTGTTCTTGAAGGTTTCAAGGTTTTAATATTGTATCTGTTCGGAAATTTACTTCTAAGCAACTTTCAAAAAAGGTTGTGTCAAAACGTTTCGATGTTTTGTAATCTGCTACAGTTACTGTTATTCTTTGTGTTGTTGTATGGTGTTTACCGTTAGTTTGGCACAGACTGATTGCACGTTACTCAACTGTCGGTCTTTATGAACACTTATAGATATGTCGGTGTCTATATATTTTGTGTTAGATCTTGTTTGGTATCTTACTGTCTGTTGAAGAAGACTATTTTAATTGTCCTTAATAATTTTTTTATTTATTCTATTACACACAAAATTGTATATATGTCGGACTTAATGCCTGATGGCATTATGGTAATGCTTTTTCGTGACCGATAAATCCCAATCTCGTATATACCAAATATATCTATATTATTCAAAATTCAAATAAAAAAATCATTTATTCATGTAAGACATTTTAGCCGCTTATGAACGTAAAATTTTGTGTATTATAATTTTTTCCCTACCGTCCAATTCAGTAGATATATAGATCCAATTGAGAAATACTGGCAAGAAACTCAATTTAATTACTTATTTTTTTTAAAGCATACCTATATAAACATAAATTTACAATTTATATTTATTTAATGTTAGTTGTTATATTTATTAAATGAAAATCCCGTGCATGAACAACTATTGCCATGCACGCTCGTCATTCAAGTAATCGTTTATTGAGTAATAGGCTTTGCTCAGTAAATATGATTTAACAGATCCTTTGATTTATATTATATATAGAAGGTACATTTCAATAATTAAATTAATAAAATTTATAATGTAACATGGAGTAACTCTTAATTTGTTGGTCCCCAGATATGGCGCACGAGACAGCCGGCGGCGCTGACGGCTCCCCGCACCACACGCCGTCGCCGCCGCACGCCGCGCACCTGCCCATGGCAGACACCAGCTTCCATCATCAGATTATGCAGGTAATCACCAGTCTATCATCAGATCACATCGGCGATCGAACGCGGCCAGCAATATTGACAGGAATCAAGTATTTCTTTTTATTTCGGAATTCAAACACCATTTAGTTTTTGGTTGATGATAGTGAACCCGCCTGCACTTGCGGTATTTGTTGCCAGGACACCAGTATTTATACTTTACTAGCTGTAGCTGCGACTTCGACCGCGTGGAATTTAACTTTATTTTTCTAAAATAAAAGTAGCCTAAGTTACTCCTTATTACATCAGGTACCTGCCAATAAACGTCCCGTCTAAATCGGTCCAGCCAGTTAGAAATAAGCCGGAACAAACAGACAGACAGATAGACAAAAAAGGTAAAAATTTATATTTTGGTGTATGTGCCATATTTATATTCACATGCAAGTAGTAAAAAACGGTTATTTCAATGTCATAAATAGACACTCCAATTTTATTTATATGTATAGATTATATAATGCTCAAATCATTAGACAGAGGCAGAGGCACATTCAGACACAGATCTGAGGCACATTCAGAATAAGACCTATAACGGATAAGCTAGTGGAAGCACGACTCATATGGTATGGCCATCTCATGAGGAGACCGGAAGACCACTTGACGAGAAAAGTTCTCGACCTCAAGTCAGAACCGAAAAACATGAATGTCAGTAGTTAGTAAGGACCTTAAGGACTACGACAACATAGAGCCGGCAACGGTTTAGAATAGACACCACTGAAGAAGGCAGATTAGGAGAGCCGACCCCAAATGAAAATGGGATAAGACCAGAAGAAGAAGATACTCTAGCTATCTGCCCCGGCCTCGTACTGTTGTACATGTATTCTACATATAAACCTTCCTCATGAATCACTTTACCTATTGCTAAAAGTGCATTAAAATCCGTTGCCTAGTTTAAAAGATATAAACGAATGGACAGCGGAAGCAATTTCATTTTATTCTAAGTAAGATATTGAAATTGATGGGTTTGCGATTTTATATGAATCATTTGACAGTTGCAGTTAGAAGCTGAAGTGCAATTACTCGTATTAATTGTAACTAAAGTATAATAATAATTCATAGATATTCTTATAAGACATATAATAATTCTATGACATTATATAATAATAATTTATAATATATACCAGTGAGCGCGACGCTCTTGTCTGTGGAGCTTTTGCCACTTTGTACGTTCTTCCATCATACTCTTTAAACCTTGATCTATGAACCTACACGACTCCAATTCTGTCTTTCATTTGCTGGATACAGTTTTGCTTGGCACAGCTACCTGCCTCAGTCTTCCTCTCCCGCTATTGTTATATCAAATGCAAATTAATTTACCCACATAATTAGCTATCAAGAAATTGTATTCTATTCTTGAAGATCAGATGGTTCATATATAATCACAAAACAGAAAGTAAGCCTTTTGTTCAAATAAGTTTCTACATTTATAAAAGCAAAAATGGCAAACATACATCTGCGAAGTCGGGAGAGTTCGCTAGTGTGGCCCAGATGGCCTTTACAGCGTCACTGGTAGGTGCAGAAGGCATTCCAAACCCGCGGAAGAAATTAAGTAGTGATCCAAGATCAAATTCTGAGTGACGGTTCACAAGTTATACATATTTATGTAATTGAAATTGGATAGACACCAACGAATGTCCTGAACTATCTCGTAATTCCACTGCTTTATCTCACCTTACAATACTTTTAGATAGACTGCATCATGAGGACAAGGATATAAATTTATAAAAGTCGACCAGTCAAGGACTCGATAACAGAAAAAGGCAACTAATTATAACAGGCCCTTTGTCGTGACAGGAGATACCAAAAAAGAACCCGCCTAATAAATATAGAGGGGTCAGCGTTTGAAAAAATTGCGAGTTCCCGTGACCTTTCCCCGGAATATTGCGACCGCGTGCCAGCGCCCATCCATCTTGTTTTCAAACTCGGCCCAAGCAGTATTTATAAAAAGATCTCGCGCGCTGTTATAAATAAACCAATATCAACGCGATATACCGTGAGCGCTCGGTCAGTCCGTCTGCTTTACTATATTTACATGGGGTCCAGGGTTACCAACCATAAAATATACGAAGGAATAATAAAACCTACATTAGCTCACTTTGCGTCTCTAACCTCGCATACTATTTAGACCGATTCCCATAAGACATAGGTAATTGTTGAAGTTGTACGAGATTCTTTTTATGTAATTGAAATTGCAAACAGTTTGACGGCTCACCTGATGAATGGATGGATAAGCGGTAACTCTCGCACACTAGATCTAAAATTAAATAAATATTTTGTTTTCTCAAATAGTGTTTAAGGAAATATGCCAATCGGTAGATCGCATCGTCTTCATTTGAAACTATACAATTTCTTCTTAAAACGAATATTTACTGTTATGTACAATTTCGTCTTGAATCAAATATTTAGGTTAGTAAAAACATTTTTTTTTACTATTACTATTTTGTGGAACGCACGTGACTAAATTTATTTGAGAATTTAATTGATCCTACTTTAGAATGACCTAAGTTGTAATCTATATAGGTGTTCTTTGATTCCACACTAAGAACGCTTATATGAGGTTACACTCCGAAAAGATTCAACAAATGTCCACGAAGATATCGATACGGTTGGCATCCCTGATGCGTTCCGTTCCCTGTAATTATGGAGGATTAATTTTAGAATTAATGTTGTTACATTGCGTGGCCTCCTTCCTCCCGCTATATCCAATAGCGAGTCACTCACCATACTCCACTCGTAACGACTATTTGTTTTTATACTTTACGTTCATTTTAATATTATTTTTATGACTATGCTAGTTGTTTTCCGCGACTTTTGACCCTATTTTTATAAAATTTATATCCTTGTCCTCATGATGCAGTCTTCTAAAAGTATTGAAAGGTGAGAAAAGCAGTGGAATTACAAGATAGTTCAGGACATTCGTTGGTGTCTATCCAATTTCAATTACATAAATATGTATAACTTGTGAACCGTCACTCAGAATTTGATCTTGGATCACTACTTAATTTCTTCCGCGGGTTTGGAATGCCTTCTGCACCTACCAGTGACGCTGTAAAGGCCATCTGGGGTCAACAGTAATAGAATAGAAAAAAATGTGTAAAGCTGAAATGCGAACTGTCACTGCCCGGCGATAGATAACATTAAAATCAAGTGGCCATCTGTAAAGAGACGAAAATAATAGTTACACGTGTAGCGAATCGTACTGCGCCTACGCATTCGGCGAACAGAGGCCGCGGATTGTATGCATAGTTTATTAATCAGGTCAATTAAGATAGGTCGATCTGATAAGTAGGATGGTCTCAATGATTCATTTCGTTTATGTCAGTCAGAAATCTACGTTGACAAAATTTTTGGTATCTACCAGCAAGAAGTTTTAGTAGCAACATCATACTTATCACTGGTGGCACGCTAGCGTATATTGTCAGCGCAGGCAGAAGCAACATTATCATCATCTATTACAAATAAAAACATTATAATTTCGCCCAATAAACTATGACAAATAAATTAACTATAATGACGTAAAAGGGCAAATTTTTGGATTTTTTAAATTCAAATTAGATCCAAGTAATCTGCAGTGTGCATGGGCGGGGTATCGCCGACGGACAGTCGTCCAAGCTGTTATGCTCGAAGCATGCCAAGCAAGAAGCACGACAATATTTTCGTAGCGCCCACACGTGCGCGCAAAACATCCGTCCGCGCGTCTATTCGCGGCACGCACATTCCGACGCCCGCCGTTTTTTCCACCGTACCAAAATAATGCGCGCGACGCCAGAAATATGCTTACACGCCGTTTGTGCAACCGCTTTTCAATATTTTTATGCTGCGATGTTTTCAGCGACGGCATCAAGGTTGTGTTCATCCACGCAGCTTCGTATTTGAGCATCATTCATTCACTAAAATGTATGTCTATGGAAACATCTGTATCAGAATTATTCTTAGAGGCATTTGATAGCAACAGGCTTCCAAAACGACCTAATTTTTCTTTTTTACTTTTGATTGCTTTTGATTTAATTTCCGTATTAAAATGTAAATTTTCGTCTTTACTCATTTGTGCAGTTTGATATTGGTGATGTTATTTTACTTGATTCCTGTCATGTGAACTGCGCCGCTCGGTCCGGCCTGTAGAGTGGGGGACTACATATATTTCCTCTCGTTGTCAGAATCAGAGCCCAAGAAAGAATCATATCGCGGAGAGAGCGAAACAATCCTTAGAAAATACTTTCCTGCTACAAGTGAGTGTAAATTATGTAATACATCGTAAAGATATCGTGTCATATTCATAGCGAATGCTCGGTTTGTGAGAGCTTTGTGAATGGAGCCTGCTATGTGCGTAACGCACGCCCCTGCCTGCCGTACTCCTCCAGTGATTCAATATATGAGTAGCATCCGTGAATCAGTATCCCCGTTGAATATGACACAATGTTTTTGCTAATAAAGCTACAGTTTTTAACAGTGTGGTGTATAGGTTTATTAAATTTTCTCACAGATTCAATTGGACGACATATACGTATTTGAATTGAACATGTTCTATAAATTGTAATTTTGTTGTAGATTAATAACTGTTTTATAAATTGTAATTGTACTATAGCTATTTTAGCACTGTAGCATGATTGTTTTTGTATTTGTTTGTTATACTGCTTATCATATCACTTACTACCTACATTTGACACTTTTACCCTCAGTATAGACGTGTTTGTTAACAAACGTGAGTGGTACAGTCTCACCTACAGACCAATTGTATGTTTCAATGATAAAATATTAATACTTGAACACAATAACAATACTTACATAATATCACAAAACACCTACTTTTAAGGTTATGTCAACAGTGCTATTTGTCGATAGGTGTAACTAACACACTAGTGTGCTTTAAGTTCAGGTTTGTCAATCCTAAATTGAATCTTATTATTCAATGGTTTTAAATTGAAATTAAAGAAATGGCTGACGGACAAAAATATTTACGAGATGATTTCTTATACTTACGGACAATGCTGCTATATGTAGTGCATTTAATGTTGTTATTCATTGAAATTTGTTTATCTGTGGCAAACCACATTGGACAGTATAATTGTAAAAATAACTGTGACATCGATTTAAACATGTTTCCAGCAAATAAATTTAATTTAATTTAAACTTTGTCAACAACATTTTGTTTCGATATTTATAGAAAACTTACTAATTACGTTTGAATTAATTACTGGTCTTGTATTTTTGCTATTCTATGAAATATTGACTGCAGAGGACAACTTACATACATACGATACGTTGGAGTCTTGTTCAAAATTGTCGAGAGATGATAATGTTCTCGTATCTTCTATTACTTAAGTCCGTCATGAATTCTTTGTTCGCATACCACGATTGACAAACCTGGCATCAGCAAACAATGTCAACTAACGCAGATGTTTCTAATATTTAAAACTTGTGTTGCAAGTGCACCAGATTAGTTACACCCGTCGAGGGTCTAATTCAGTGTTTACCAACGTGAGGTCTACGCCCCGCAGGGTCTAATTTGATTGTTAAGAGGGGCAATCCGAAAATGGACTCTTTGTTAAAATTAGATGGAATGTCAATTGCAATTTTACGTTTTTTGAAAATTTACTTACCTTTGTTTCATTGTTAATTTCCTAGTGATTTCTTCCTAAAACCTATTATTTCATTTTCTAATTTTTTAACCATCTAATTTTTAAGGCATTAGAATTTTAGAAAGTGGGGCATGGCACTAAAAGGTTGGGAAACACTGCTCGAATTAATGGGATACCATTCACCATCAGAGTTACCAGTGACTCATTAACGTCGCCACAGCAGTGATGAGTGCAGGGCGGTCTGCTAAAAGCAGTTGGGATTCTGTTTCAGTTGAAGAAACAACAGCAACTGCAGCAGGAGATCCTGCTGCAGTCGTTCCAGCAGCAGCGGCAGCAGCTCGCCCAGGAACATGAACAGCAGCTCAGGCTTCACTTTAAGGTGAATTGGTGATGAATTTGAAAATTTCAAGAGTCTATATAATATATTTTTTATGCTTTTCTTTTAATTCTTTAGCGGTGTCTATTTTATACAAGAAGAAAAATTATATTAGATTTTTTTTATCATATTAGCTTGTAGATTTTTTTATTTTAAAGTAGTAACGTATTGAATACTAGATACCTGCACGGGTTCGCACGGGAATTGTAGGTAGTTCTAATTGTGTCGTAAATAAAATATAGACCATGTTCTGATAATGCAGCATTTTATAGATGAAAGGATTTTTGAAATTAATTAGGGATTTATATTTACAATTAAAAAATTCATTGTTTATATATATGTCCAAATAATATACTATTATGTCAGTAATCCCGATGAATGGTTCGTTTTTATTACGACTATATTATAACGCTGCTGAAGGAGACCGATCCAGACGACGTGCCGACTTTTGTGGCGAAGGATTTAAACAAACTTCCTCCAGTCACATTTGATCACGTCGATGTTACCAGCCTACTCAAGGATATTGTGTCCTTAAAAAAGAGTTTGGCAGATGTGACGCTACGTTTCAATGCGTCAGAGCACATAATTAGTGAGTTGCGCAAGGAAGTGGACAGTTTGCGCGACTCGCGAAAAGAAACTAGGTCACTTGACGCTACGAACATCAACACGCGCCGTGGGGCATGCCGCGATGCGTTCACGGCGGAGTCAGCGGTTTCGACGTCGACACTGACGTCACCAGATGTGGTGTCACCGCCGGCCGCCGCGCCCCCCGTGCTCCCCGCCCGCAGCTCGCGAGCGCCGATACCGCTGCATGTGGAAGCAGCGCTAACAAAATCCTCGGTGCAACCACAGCGTCGAGATTTTGCCGCCGTCGTCGCTAGCAAATCGGCTGCTTCAGTACAGCGGCGTGTGCCAAAAACGGCACTGAACATTGACCCTACGTGTGCTGCCACTGGGAACCGCGACGATGATGGCTTCGTCGTGGTACAAAAGAAGAGGCGCACAAACAGGGTCAATAGGAATCATTGTGGCACTGCACTCACTGGGCCCAACTTTCTGCTGCGTGCTGCTACACCGACCACGACAATGTACCTGTCCCGTCTACATTACGCCACTAAGGAGCAGGACATTGTCGATTATATTCGTACCAAGAGTAACCTGACATTGAGGGTGACGCAGCTGAAGTCGAGTCACAACGCGAGTTTCAAAGCGTTTGTGGCCCTGGTCCCCACCGACTTACTGCCCACCTTCATGAAAGAGGACTACTGGCCGAAAGGTGTGGTGTATCGGCGCTACCGTGGCAGATTGCCGTCTTCAGTGCAGTGATCACACAGACAATATAGTTGTATTGGTTTTTAAATATTATATTATATGTATGTTAGTCTATAAGGTATTTATAATATGGGCCTAGTTGCCTGAAATAAATGAATAAATAAATAAATAAATAAAATAAATTAATATTTTTGTTTGTTTTTTTTATTATTTAATTTGTATTATTTATTTTTATTATTTTAGTAGTGGTTGTATCCGTATCAGTTCCGGAATTGTGAGTAGTAATAACGCCATGCAAACTGGGCATACCTGTCCAGCGAATAGTTGCAATAAAATAGAATAGAATAGAAAATTATTTATTCAAATAAACTTACATTGAAGCACTTTTGAATAGTCATCACATTTTTTTAATCTACCGCTCATTCGGAAAGTTGTCTCATCACAAGAAGAACGAACAAGATACTTATGTATTGCTCTTTTAAATAATTTCATAAATTATAACGTTGTATGCTAATCAACTAATTATTTACTTGATACGTTGTCAAATAGGGGATGAAAGTTTATATTAAACTTTGTCAATTTTAAATCGATCGTGCTGAAACTTTGCACGCTTAAAGCTACTATGACGTAGGCATCCCCTACGAAACGATTTTGATAAATTCCACCCCTACGAGGATAAAAGCTAGTTACTAATAAGATCAAGAAGTTGATCTCTAAATATCTAAATATGATGCGTAAATTTTTGCCTAAACACTTGTATGAAAATAAGTTATCTAAATAAATAAATTAGTAATATTATTATAATTAGGACAAGTAATGCAGTATCATTTATCTAGCCTTATAAAAAGTGGAATAGTGTTGATTATATATAAAACGAGGGCGTGGTATTTATCGGCAAGTAATTATAACAATCTGTGGAAATTGCCACTGCAAATATAAACTTTTATACCACAAATAATCCGAGTTGGATCCTTTTATGAGTTTTATCGGAAAACAAATGGGTAGGATTAGTCCTCAAGAACGGAAACATACGAGTACCACAGCAATATCGTTTTAATGTGTCCAAGGATACAATAGAATAGAATAGAATAGAAAATTCTCTATTGAACTAAACTTAAATTTAAACATTGAATAGTCATACTTACTTTTTTAATCTACCGCTCATTCAGAAAGCTGTCTCATCACAACAAGAACATGCAAGGAACTTGTGTGTTGCTCTTTTAAATAATTGTTATGACTTTACAAGTTTGAAATGTAAATGTAACCCGCCAGCGTAAACCGTTAGCGCAGGCGGATGCACCATTCCATTGTCATCCCTTATAAATAAATAGCTTCCTCTAGATGAGTGGCCCCCTCCGATCGATCCCCCGTCTTCAAACGGGGACCGATGTTACGACGGCCTGAGCCGAGGGTCGAACCCCTCAGACTAAAGTCGTATCTGTCACGCGGGAGTTGACCTTCAGCCGCTCCATTAGTCCTTCCGCGGGTTTAGAGTGCCATCTGCACTCGCTCGCTATCGTCCGGTGAAGCTGTAAAGGCCAGCTGCGGCCAACAGCATTAGAGTAGTCCGAAAAAAAAAACTAAATGAGTAGATATCATACAAAATGTCTGGAATTTGACAAATAGTTGGCTATGTCCACTGATGGGCGTCGACTCCACGATATAAATAGACATGAATGGTCGAGCAGTCCGTAATTACATCATTCACGTGCCTGCTATGTGGCTACATTTAACCTCATTGACATATACAACCTGGAACTGGTTGTACGTCATTTGCATTGTTCATAGTCGGTGGTTAGTTGAAATTACCCACTTAACTAGAATATAAACATACAATGTTAAAAGTCCAATTGAATAAAAAAAATGCTATAAAAAATACAGAGCATCTAAGTCTTCTGGATTTACTACGCATGAGTGCCTTAAGATTTAGAAGGACTAAGCAGAGATACAGACTGACTTTGCTTTATGAGAGTACTAGCTTTTGCCCGCGGCTTCGCTCGCGTTAATTTATCCCCTTAGGGGGGGAATTTATCATTTTTCTTAGGGAATGCCTTCTTAGGGATTTCTTCTTTCTTAGGGAATGCCTACGTCATAGTAGGTTTATGCATGCAAAGTCTCAGCACCATCGGTTTAAAATTGACAAAGTATCATACAAACTTACAACTCTTATTTAATCCTCTTGGGGGTAGAATTAATCAAAATCCTTTCTTAGTTGATGCCTACGTCATAACATCTACCTGCAAGCCAGATTTCAGCACGATCCGTCCAGTGGTTTGGGCTGTGCGTTGATCACTATGTCAGTCATCTTTGACTTATATATATATTAGACTACTAGATTTAGAAGGACTAAGCAGAGATACAGACTGACTTTGCTTTATGAGAATACTACTAGAGATAGATCAATAGCAACTGTAGTCTTTTTTTTAATTCCAGAGACTAAATTGACAGATGTAAATGTAAAATTTTCAAATAATGCCACGCACAACCACATTGTGGAATCACCTTCCAGCAATGGTATTTCCGAACCGATACGATATTGAAACCTTCAAGAAAAGAGCCTATTCCTTTTTAGAAGGCCGACATTTTTTTTCTTTCAAACAGCTAAATATTCAAATAGGTAATGTTTTATGATATATGACACCATAAGAAGGTACTTTGTTTTTTAAAAAAAGGTAGTTACTCTTTAATTTAGTGAAAAATAAACTACTAATTTTGCATTAAATTACAACCAATTATTTCTAAGTCATCTATAAAAATGGGTAATTAACATTAATTTCCCCAAAAAACCCTATTTAGAAATTACAAAAACCTGGCAACATCGGAAATGTCAAATTTTTCTCCGGGAATAAAATACAGACTATACAAAGTTGTAATCAAAAAACGTTTATGCCTACATAATGTTAAAAAACGTAACGGTAAATGTTGCGAACCGTTACTTACGATTACAAAAAAAATAGAAGTGACCGCGTACTTGATTCGAAACGAGGATGTCCGCCGGTCCAACGATTCGAGCGGGGATCGGAATTACGACGGCCTGTGTCGAGGTTTGAACCCCTAGCCTTAGACTAAAGTCGTACCTGTCAGGCAAACAAGTTGCCCTTCAGCCGCTCCATAAGTCCTTCCTTTGGTTTGGAGTGCCATCTGCACTCGCCCCCTATCGTTCAGTGAAGCTGGAAAGACTGCTGCCAATGTAGTTCAAATATCACTTAGTCTATCTAGAATTCTAGACTAAGTGATATTTGAACTACATTAATATATGTACTACTATTTAATCTATTTAACTATACTATTTGATCTATGTAATCTATCTAGATTACATAGATCAAATAGTCCGGATTGACGGCCCCGGTGGTCTATCGGTTTAGCATATCACTTTACTTCCGATGGTAACGGGATAGATTCCTCACATCGTTGCAAAGATAAATGTATATGATTTATCTTTCTAACGATTACAATAAACTGTACAATGAATAAAAATATATTATACTCTTTAGTATGATTATTGGTTTGAAAGTTTTTATTCATAGTCTAATAAAAACATTTGAGTACTTGTATCAGTTATCTAGTATCCATAACACGAACTCAGCTAGATTGGGACTAGATGGAGCTGTGTTACTACTGATTGATTTATATACATACATAATATACATAGACAAAACCCAAATCGGTACAAGGAATCATACTCATGAATTTTTGTGCTGTGCGAGGAATCGAATCCACGACCATGCACTGATTTCATAAAATTTGTATATATGTTACACTAGTTTGATCCAGATCGGTATAAACAATCATAGTCATGAATACAAATACTTGTACCGTACGAGGAATCGAAACAACAAATATGCACTGATCTCATAAAATCTGTATATATGTTACACTCGTTAGTTTATATAAATATGACGACCTCGGTGGTCTAGCGGTCTAGCATACCGCTTTACGACCGATGGTCGCGGGTTCGATTCCTCGCACGGCACAAACTTTTGTATATATGAGTATGATTGTTTGTATCGGTCTGGGTATTTTCTATGTATAATATGTATATATTTACAAAAAAAAATATATCTATGTATTTGTATCAGTTGTCTAGTACCCATAACACAAGCTTTAGCTAGCTTAACTTGGGCCTAGATGGCGCTGTGTGAATTGTCCTGAGATTATTATTATTATTATTATTATTATTATTAAATATGTGATTTTAACAATTCCCAAAATAACTAAAGGAAATTGTTCATATAATAATGGGACAATATCCAAAACATTCAGGAGTGGGCGGTGACAAATATATATGTTTAATTCCGTGGCTCGCGAAATTAACAGCGCTTTCAAATGACACGTTTCTGTTTAATATATATCGTTGGCGCGTTCTGGCGTCCGTCTGTCTACATGAATGACAACAGTTTTTTTATTAGTTGTTAATTGGATTGGGAAACCAGCTGAGTACACAGTAAGCAGTAACAGCACTACGGAGCACGGTATCATGGGACACATCGTTACCACTCAAACGTTGCTGTTCCAGAGAACTAAAATGTCACACCTTGTTAAAAACACAAGGTCCTAAGGGTAGTATAAACCAAAACATCTCATGTATATAAGATTATTGGTCATTTTCAAATACAGGTACAAAAAAAAATTTCGGACTACTCTAATGCTGTCGGCCGCAGCTGGCCTTTACAGCTTCACCGGACGAGTGCAGATGGCACTACAAACCAAAGGAAGGACTTATGGAGCGGCTGAAGGCCAACTCCCGCCTGACGGATACGACTTTAGCCTGAGGACACTGGTAGGGTTTCGAACCTCTGCTCAGGCCGTCGTAATATCGATCTCCGTTTGAATTGGACTGGGAATCAATCGGAGGGGGTTAAAAAAATAATATTACAAATAACATATAAGATTTCAATAAAACGAAACATTAGCGAGTTTCAATTTTGTTACAGCGCCATCTATTAACGCTGCATGCAAACAATACTATTTTATAGATAAACATCTATTTTAAACTCTAACACACCTCTTATCCTTTAAGTTGATTACCCAACTATTGCTGCTATTGATAGGCATCCATGTTTGTACTTATAGTTTTTCTAAACTTCTGAACAATTTCATATCGAAATGTTGGTATACAAAATAATTTATGTATTTATCAAATATTCCTGTATATTATAAAAGCATTTAGTTTTTAGGACGTCATAGGTAAACGCATGAAATGTAAAAATAACTAACTGACTTGGCTCCATGCTCTACTTATCATCCTCTACTATTATCGTCCATTACACTGGTCAACACAAGTCTAGTTTCCTTAATTTTTTTGGCTTTATGGCTTCAACTTTTTATATGCACAGTTTTCTCATTTTGATAACATATAGGTTTTCGATATTCAATATATATAGATAACAATCGGGATTCATTACACAACATCTTGTTGACGAAGCCATATCGAAAACAACAGCAAAATATATTTCAGTGTCCAAAAAAAACGCAAATCTAAGGTGAACATAGTAAATGAGGGAAGTTAGCTGTAACTCAAAAACAAAAACTCAAAAAAAAAAGAGAAAAATTGTTGCTATATTTAAACAATACGCGTTAATTCGAGATGGAAACGGAATAAAAATCGAAGGAAACAAACATTTTTTTTGTTGATCAGTGCTATATCAAACAGTGGGTTTTGTAGAAGATTATTTACAAAACAAGTGTTGACCGCATTCATGTCTGAAACCACTACATTATTACACCGTTATTCATTAAAAAAATATGTAGGTATGTACGGGATATGTGGATTGTGTCCAATTCAATGTTGATAGTTCACTTATATGCAGTTTGAGTCAACATACGTGACGCACAAGTTGCTCATTGACATGTTTTATATAATATTTATATATTTAAAGAATTGAATGTACATAGTTGTTTGTTGTGGAAGGAACTAATGTGATATCATGTAATTATTGCGCAATTAACCTTTATAAAACTGATCTTTACGTACGTTTGTTAGAGGTAGACTTTGACAAAGTCGTCACGGATACCTCTGTCTCACCTTAGTTTGTTTGAAGAAAATCCCTCATGGAGAATCGCTCGCCTCGGGGGAGGCTCACCTTTGTTTTTTTCTTAAAGAAAATCCTTCACACACTCGCCCCGAGGGAGGCGAATAGGTGCTCTGATACTCCTACCCAATAAAAACTCCAAAATATCCTGGTTTTTTTATGGATGATAATACTATGGTGCACTCGCCTGCGCTAACGGTTTACGCTGTCGTGGCACCAGTGGGGGATGATAAGACGAGCATGAGATCAAGTGAGTTAGCCCATCGTGACAAATTCAGCAAGAATTTATCACGATGGTTTCCAGGGAGAACCGCGTGGAGTCAACCTGTAATGGTACATTAGTAACAATGGGGGCATCAGTCCACATTACTAACAATCTACTTTCCCCCCTACGAGGTAGATTTTGTACAAGTCGTCTGCGGGTACCGCTGTGAGACAGCGGTACCCAGCGGTTTATTTACTTGATAAGTACTGTAGTACATCTACTCAATGAAAACTCAAGGTATCCTGATTACCGTCCGTGGCCGAAGTCACGGGAGTATAGTGTCAGTCCACCGCGACTCCTTAGCTTAAGCTGCAAGCCTCTTCGGGTTTACTGGAAAAGACCCCCGTCTTTGAGGAGGCGCATGGGGATACAGGCGAAACCTTCTCAGGGTTTTCTTGGAGGTGGGACCGCGGTCAATACATACAGTTCCGCTCTACTCTGTTATTACAGTAAAAAATGTTTTTTCGTTATTCGCTTAATTAATTATAACTTGAACAGTTTTTGTTTAACTTTTATGATGTCTAGGATTGTTTATACGAACGAATTAAACTTAGGTTTTTAGGGAAATCTAATTTTTCATCTAATCTAATTACGGCTAAAATAAACTTGTTTAAATAAAATCTGAATAGTGTGAAACGTTGATTAGTTAACCTATGTGCAAAGGTTCATCAAGTTGAATTGGTTATTGCAGAAAATTTTGCATAGTAGCAATTTTTGTATGGAAAACCTTAATCATAAAAAATATTTAATAGGGGCTATACTTTAATAAAAGAAAACCTAATCCTACAGTAATTGCGAATCTGGAGCGGGTGGCTAGTGTTACAAATATAAACAATGAAACCAACCGTTTACCTTCTAGAATTTGGAATGTATACAGTTCTTCTTTTGTATCTTCTTACAACGTATATACTTCTGTATTTCCAGATGTGGGAGCAACAGAAAGCGGAGGCGGCGCTACGGGAGGCCCGAGAGGCTCGTGAGGCAAGAGAGGCCCTCGAGAGGCACGAACGGGACCGAGTGGAGCTGCTGCGGAAGAAAGACAAACTGGAGCCCAGCGCCAATGCTTCCACGCAAGTCAAACAGAAACTACAGGTGAGAGGTCTACATCCACCAGTTATTCACCTGCTTTATCTATATAAGTATATACTTTTTAAATTTGACGCAGTAATTATTTAGATGTCAAATTTGGAAGCACTACCTTTTTAGGCGTAGTCGCTGTAGAGTTGTCATGTCACCTATCTGTAGATGTCATATAGAATGTCAATATGACAGATCGCATTTCCCGCGTTATTAGCTCAGTCATAAAAGACTAGTTCAATATGTAAAAGTGGAATAAAAACAATTAAGTTTAAATATGATTTTTATTTGTTAAATCTGCAAATTAATACAATAATATCGTCGAGATTAAGAGATTCGACATTAGCTTGCTATGATTTATTAAAAAAATAATCCAAATATTTCACCATTACAATAATATAACTTTAGGGGCGAAATGGATTGTTAGCAATGTAGATTAATGGACCATGTAGGACACTGTCACATAGATACATTAAAATAATAATTGCATTTAATAATGTCTAGTAAGACAAATTCAATATTGTCTACTAAGCACTGCTGTGTCTAAACCTTAGATTTTCCTATTGTTACTTAGTATATAAGATCTTAGTATATAATATACATCGTCTCGACCAACAACATAGTATCACTCACCCGCAACAGACCACACTACCAGCAATGTATCGTGTTAAGTTTATATCCATGTGGTTCCATCGTGATAGTTTCTTGGGTAAATTGCCACGATGTGCTAACTGACCTGACCTCATGCTCATCTTATCAACTAGTGCCCCGCCAGAGTATACCGTTAGCGCAGGAGTGTGCACCATTCCATCATCAGCTATAGAAATAGAAATAATCTTTATTCAAATAAACTTAATATAAGCAATCCCTCTTCAAGTTTTATTTTCAACCGTCTTCAAAGAAAGGAGGAGGTTCGCAAATGACAATATTTTTTTCATATGTGTTACCCCAGATTTTAAATATAAATTCCTTTACGGTATAACATGTAGTTATATATACCCGTGTATAATTTGAACAAATTATTCCATGACCTCTACAGGGTCAAACCGAAATAAACCCGCGTCAAAAGTTACCGAGAATCGCTAATTACAAGTCACAGTGCGTTGTTTTCGCCATACGCAGGTTGCTTGTGTTATGTTAATACATAAAATTGAATGGTTGTATGTTTGTCCATACCAGGAATTTTTCCAGAGGTAGACTGTAAAAAGATGTCTGCATGGGTACCAGTCTTTTTCTTGCGGATAACTAATTGTACCCGCGACTTCGTCCGTGTGGAATTCAAAAAGTTAATTAGAAATTTTCTAAAATAAAAGTAGCCTAAGTTACTCCTTATTACATCAGCTATCTGCCAAAAAAAGTCCCATCGAAATCGGTCCAACCATTTCAGAAATTAGCCATAACAAACAGACAGACAGACAAAAATTGAAAAAAAAATTGTTCCGTACCGTATTTATATTCATATGCATGTAGTAAAATACGGTTATTTCAATATTACAAACAGACACTCCAATTTTATATATATGTATAGATGTATATATAATGGAATGGTGCACCCGCCTGCGCTAACGGTTTACGCAGGCAGGGCACCAGTGATGGATGATAAGATGAGCATGAGGTCAAGTCAGTTAGACCATCGTGACAAATTCACAAAGAATTTATCACGATGGTTTCCAGGGGAACTGCGTGGAGGTCAACCTGACATGGTACATTGCTAGCAATGGGGTTATCAATCCATATTACTAACAATCCCCCTACCCCCTGGGTACCTCAGTCTCACCTATTTCAGCCGTCAAGCAGCTTGCTTTGTAAGCAAGCTGCTTGACGGCTGAAATAGGTGAATAGTGTAGTGAATGTGAGTGAATAGTGAATAGCTGTTTCGAATGTAGGGTGCAGATTGGGCAGTGAATAGGATAAGAGGCGTGACATCTTAGTGCTATTGAATGAGAACGTATGCGAGTGATGTCACCTAGTAGTAGTGTTATGGCCTCGGTGATGTAGCGGTTTAGCACACTGCCTTACTTCCGATGGTTGCGTGTTCGATTCCTAGCACGATACAAACATTTGTATTCATAAGTATGATGTATCGGTCTGAGTGTTTTCTATGTATATAAAGTATGTATTTAACAAAAAAGTGTATATATATATCAGTTTTCCAGTACCCATAACGCAAGCTCTGCTTAACTTGAAACTAGATGGCGCTTTGTGAATTGTGATATTATTATTATTATAAATTATTACTAAGAAATTATTATATTGTTTTATATTTGCCGTACAGCGTTTATAACTCTGTATGGTGGTGAAACAAGAAACGTATCAGCTCGGCCTGTACACATTATGTATCCAATCTGAAGCGAAGGTATCAAATGTGTCTGATGAGTGAGAGGTGCTGAGGGTTTTAATTAGGAAAATATGGAGATTAAATAAAATTCGACTAGTATGACAGCGATATATAATAGAAAGTAACAAAAATAATATGTCAAAGAATATTATTCTAAAATTTAAAAATGGTATAAAAACCTATCAAGGAGTTCTTTTTTTTTTTATAGCACTTAGGTAGCAAACAAGCATACGGCCCATCTGATGGTAAACGGTTACCGTAGCCTATGGACGCCTGAAACACCAGTTCGCTACACAATCAATATATACCATGTAACACGAACGACGTCGCGGTTTAAAGCTAGTTAATAATATATAATATCATTTGTATCAATTCCAGGAATTTCTGAAGAAGAAACAGGCCGCCGCTAATGCCAATGGAACTGTGCCAGGCTCACCCTACAGGAATTGGTATGCATTGCCTTACTTTCTGGATCCCATTTAATATTTGAATATGGTACTAACAAATATTATATTATAAACCTGATGTTTGGGAAACTACTCTGCTACCAAAATGTTAGGGAAGCGTCAGTCATTTACCTTTATGGTTCTGCGGATTTCTTGGGCCTCAGGGTCTCGAAGGTATCTTCGCTAGCTTTCACACACTTTCACAGTAGGTTTCACAGTAGGTAGATAGGTAGGTTTAACACAGTTCTAATTTATTTCAATTCACAACAAATGCGAGCGCGCGTCAAGGCCGCTGTACGGTCCGTTTGGTACTAGGTAATGGAGGGGAAGGAAAGACGCGGGAACACAAACTAACGGGCTCTAATATAATAATCTGTGCTTACGATGGTACAGGGTAGATTTTGAACACCTGACATTGAGGGTAACGCAGCTGAAGTCGAGTCACAACGCGAGTTTCAAAGCGTTTGTGGCCCTGGTCCCCACCGACTTGCTGCCCACCTTCATGAAAGAGGATTACTGGCCGAAAGGTGTGGTGTATCGGCGCTACCGTGGTAGATTGCCGTCTTCAGTGCCGTGATCGCACAGACAATATCATTGTATTAGTTTTTAAATATTATATTATATGTATGTTAGTCTATAAGGTATTTATAATATGGGCCTAGTTGCCTGAAATAAATGAATATATAAATAAATAAATAAATTAGCATTTTGGTCTATTGGTTATCAAGTATTTATTGAACTTAGTGCCGCACTGTTACTACGATTATAGTCTGTTTTTTTTTAATCCCGGAGATTAAGTTGAGAGGTGTAATTGTCAAATTTTCAAATAATGTTGCCACCTATAGCGGGGCAGTGCTGTGCACCTGCGATACCGATTTGTTTAATCGGAAACTTTATTTTAACATATTAGTTTTAATGCTATGAATGATTTTTCCACAACTGATTTTCAAAATTTTCTTATATATGTATACTAGCTGTCCCGGTAACCGTTGTTTTGCCTTAAAATAAAAAAAATAGGGGTGGACTACCCCTAACATTTAGGGGGATGAAAAATAGATGTTGACCGATTCTCAGACCTACTCAATACGCTCACAAAATTTCATGAGAATCGGTCAAGCCGTTTCGGAGGAGTATGGGAACGAAAACTGTTACACGAGAATTTTATTGTACAACACAAATATACATTTGAGCTTTTCCGCACATGTAGTTTTTTTTACAGTATTACAGTTTTTACAGTTTTGCCACAACCCTATTTAAAAAAAAACAACAACCTGGTACCATCGGAAATGTCGAATATGTCTTTGGTATTAAAAACAGACTATAGGTCGTTTTTCCGTAGTAAATATTTAATTTTTATTATTTTTATAAATATAACACTAACAGACAAATTATATAGATAGATAGATAGATAGATAATAGTTTTTATTTGTATCTTAGTACACACATATAGGCTTAATTATAACATCATATGACAAGTACCTACAATATAACAATTCAATAAGTATAAACCTGCATGTGTGTGCTACAGCAATACAAAATTGGTACATAGCTCAGTGTGGAGAATCACTCAAGGAGCAAAACACTGATTTTCAGCTATGTCCTCGAGGGTGAATAATGTACCTTGTATTTTTTTTAATAAACTATACTGTACTTAATGAAATAATGTGAAATAAATAAGTAATAAAAGAACTTGGAAAGTAGGTATTATAGTTAGAGTACCAGAACTTTATAAATACCGAGATACTATAATTTAATTTGATATATATGAATACTAAGAACAGGAATATAATAAACGTGTAAAAAAAAATAATTAAAGCCATGAAGGAGTGAAAAGTGTCATAATGGAAAGGAAATCAATTAGAATATTACTGCGCTCTGTCACCATATAAATATAATATAAAATATACTGTATAAATAAACTTATATATAAATAATTAAAAGCTATATACAGGTCATCAGGCGAGTTCATCCCGGGTTAATAATAACCCATTTGGATTTTTTTTTTATTAGATTATTTTTTTTTTAATTGGCAACATGTGTTGTGTTCTCAGGGGCATCGTAAAGTCATCATCAGGCGAGTCCATCACATCGACAGGGGCGACGGCGACGGCGCACCCTTACCGCCTGGCTGGCCCGCTGCCGCTCACCCTCAACCAGCAGCCCGCGCAGCCCTCGCCAGCAGACTACCCGCTGCGGAAGACAGGTTAGTACCGACCCATCTCGAACAACCCTCGGCTCCACGCTGCCATGTCTCCTCCTTTACTGGCTTGCGTCAACTCATTATACGGAGTAGATATCTTTATATATAAAAATTACGTGTCACGTTATTTGTCCGCGATGGACTCCTAAGGACGATTGCAAATTTGATTTTCACAGTGTGTGCAATTTGATCTGACTTGAAAGATAGGATAGCTTACATCTCAATTTATGGAAACCATCGGGATATTCAAAATCAATCCAATCATTTCAGAGATTAACAAAATGTAACAGACAAACAATTGTTTTTTTATATGAATACAGTGTTTTTATATGAGTACATACATATACATATTTCATATGAATTTAGTGAAAAGTTGTTAATTTGAAATTACAACCAGACTCTTAAAGTTAGTTGTTTTATAATATTACTTCATATGACTGCAAGCCAGTAATGTTACAAAGATGCGTACAGACAGACGAGCCGAGGAAATGCATGTCCCGTAAACATGTCGTTTAATTTATTAATAGATTGTTTTTGTGGTTTTTCTTTTGTAAAATCAAAGGTAAATACTACTAACAGATAGTTTAGATATAGTGGTGTGTTTGTTATTAGGATAGCGTTAAATATTATATATACTACTAACTACTCGCCCCGGATTTGCACGGGTGTACATGTATTATACATATAAATCTACCACTGAAGCACTCTATTTATAGCTAAAAAGTGCATTAAAATCCGTTGCGTAGTCTAAAAGTTCTAAGTGAAGACATAGAGTGTTTCAAGAAGAATGTATAATACAAGTGCATCTGTGCGAAGCCGGGGCGGTTAGCTAGTATTTTATACAACAGAATTATAGAATATTATAAACCATACAAATAATTGTCCAATTATTTGTTTTAGAAACATATTTATTTCAGTTTATAGTAATGTTTCTTTTATTTTGTTGGATAATTCTTTTAGATTATATTAACCTCTTTCTTATAAACTCTAAACAACTGACTGTAAGTATCTTTTTGTATACGTAATTATAAGTTTCATAACAACTGAAAAGCATGATTTTGTTAAGTAAGAGGTTAATTTTATATACTCTATATAACTTTTAAATACAGTAGTAAAGTTAAATGTATATAAAGTGCGCAAAGGTGGACTTACCTCTAAAAGAGATCTCTACCAGTCAACCCAACAGTGAGGTATAGCTATTAGTGATTTTACGTAGTACATAACTATTGTTGCACGTTTCAAAGAATACTACTCTACACAGTATCAGTATGTTTCTTTCTAAATGAAGTGGAATGTATACTATATGTCAATATATATATAGTAATTAATGAATTCGTTCGGTGCATGTTGTTCCGTTGAGAATATATTAATTTATCACTCAAAAGTAGTAAGGAATCGGGTCTTGTGAAGTATTTATTAATTATATTTTCAAATTAAAAAATGAAAACTTACGCGGAATTATATTTTTCGATGAAACATCTTAAACTTATTCAAATTCTTTATTTGTACAGTAGAAGTTACAAAGGTCTTAAGAAACAAATAATAAGTTTCACTGTCATCTGCAATTACGCGTAAAATATTATTGAATTTTTTTTATTACTTAATACAATTTTTTATATTATTTAATTCCGCTTCTATTAGCATGTGTTAGCATTGACACCACAAATATTCAGTGCGGAAATCCGACCACTGTATGTATTATATATCCTTACGGTTCTGTCCAAGAGCGCGGTCACCAGTCATGGGCTTGATCTGGATTATATTTATATACATTTAAATAAAATAACAAAGCAAACGTTTTCTAATTTAATTTATATGAGACAACCAAATGACATATGTAAGTTGCGCGCGCAGCTTTGCATGCGCGCTGCCTATACAATACATTTATGTACGTATACAGCCATAGCTGCAAGCGTGGGAGTCTGTGTAGTGTTGTATATGCGTTGTCCCATTAGACATAATATGCGTAGTAGTAGTGTATGAGACATGTGAGCTATGAGTAACCAGCATGCGTGTGCACTAACCAGCGTCCGAGCCCAACATGCTGAAGGTGCGGCTGAAGGCGCGCGTCATCGAGCGCCGCGCCTCGCCGCTCGCGCGACGTCCGCTCAAGACGCGCGTCAAACACCGCAGTGAGTACCACACGCCACCACACCACCCAACTACCAATCATCACACACCCCAAATACGGCGGGATTACTTGTCGTTGGTCGAATCTATAACATACACACCAAACTACCAAATATCACACTCCCCAAATACGGCAGGATTACTTGTCGTTGGTCGAATCTATGACATACACACCAAACTACCAAATATCACACACCCCAAATACAGCGGGATTACTTGTCGTTGGTCGAATCTATGACATACACACCAAACTACCAAATATCACACTCCCCAAATACGGCGGGATTACTTGTTGTTGGTCGAATTTATGACATACACACCAAACTACCAAATATCACACTCCCCAAATACGGTGGGTCACTTGTACTTGGACGAATTTACGAGATACACAGAGGGACGCTTGCTCGATATCCGACTTTAATTACAATACATTGGTGTTTAATTTGAACGCAAGCACTTGCAATTCTTCTGGTATTTCGGGTGCTGATAGACGGCGGTTATCACTTACCATCAGGTGAGCCGTGAGCTCGTTTGTCCCTTATAAAATATATTTCAAACGTTGATTTATTACCCCGTTCACATATTACTTGTAGTGTAAAGATAGTCGTACAACAAGCGTATAGTAAGAGATTCATATCATCAACTCTTACACATAGCTACACTCTTATCTAATGGGAATCTCTTCCTATGTACATATGTATGGTTAAGTTTAAAGCTACTCACAGCACAGAACAAAGCGAAATGAACCTAAATAAGTTGAAATTAGATTAAGAACAATGTGGTAAAGTGTATACTGGCGCCGTAGACTGCGAGGGCGGATCTCCGCGCGGGTCCCCGCCGGGCGCGGGGGGCGCGGGGGGCGCCACGGCCCCCATCCGCGAGGAGGAGGAGTGCCCCCGCGCGCCCGACCTGCTGTTCTCCTCGCCCTCGATGCCCAACATCTCGCTGGGGCGGCCGCACGCGCCGCCGCCGCGCCATCCCGCGCATCCGGCGCATCCCGCTCACGTTGTGCATCCCGCGCATCCCGCGCATCCTGCGCACGCGGCACATCCCGCGCACGCCGCGCCCACGCAACCGGTTAGTATTAATATTTTATTAATTGATTAAAAAATTGCGGTATTTTAAACTAGTTTTATGTAAACGTTTAATTAATGATATTATGTGAAACAATGTAATATATAATGTAAAAACGGAAGACGAAATAATAAAATCTAGCAAAATTGGAGATTGAATGTAGAGACTAGAGTGCGTGTGTGGTGCAGGTGGGCGTGTCGCTGCCGCCGGTGTCGGAGGCGGAGGCGTTCTGCGGGGCGGCGGGGGCGGCGGGGGCGGCGGGGGCGCTGGGCGCGCGGCTCGCCAAGCGGCCCCTGGGGCGCACGCACTCCGCGCCCCTGCCCCTGGGGGACCCCGCGCTGCACCCGCCCGCCGCGCACCACTACCTGCGCGACCAGATACGGAAGACGGTATGTCATCATTCACCACTTGTTTTGTTTACGTAGGAATCGGTTGAGTCATGAAACATGAAATGATTGATTCATGAAACACAATGGTATGTAGTGAATCGAAATCGTATTACAAATAAGTTAAGTCGAGAGTTGTTGCATTTTATATTTTTTTCTGTTTATTTTTCTTGTATAATAATGCGTATATTTTAAATATATTTAAGATTTCTAACTATGAATAATTCTATACTGACGTTTGTGCTGTGGTTTAAGAACGCGGTGGAGCTTTCAAAGTTAAAAGACGGGGGCGTCGTGTGAATATAGTAATTCTGTACTGTTTCCGTTCTGATTCGTTTACCAATTGAAGTACTCGGCGAGTCTGTGCGCGGTGACGATGTGCGTGGTGCGTGCAGGTGCTGACGCGCGCGCACGACGCGGCGGCGGCGCAGCTGCGCGAGGAGGAGGGCGAGGTGATCGACCTGACGGCGCGGCGCGGGCCGGCGGCGGAGCCCGCGCCGCTGGCCCGCGCGCTCTCGTCGCCGCTGGTGGGCGCGCGCGCCGCCGCCACGGGGCTCGCCTACGACGCGCTCATGCTGAAGCACGGGTGCGCGTGCGGCGCGCACGCGCCCACGCACCCCGAGCACTCGGGCCGGCTGCAGTCGGTGTGGGCGCGGCTCTGCGAGACGGGGCTGGCCGCGCGCGCCACGCGCACGCGCCCCCGCAAGGCCTCGCTCGAGGAGCTGCAGGCGGTGCACGCCGACGCGCACGTGGCCGTGTTCGGGGGCCGCGCGCGCGCAGGCGACGTGCGCCAGCTGGTGCGGCTCTCCTGCGGCGGCCTGGGCGTCGACTCGGACACGGCCTGGTGCGACCCCCACACGGCCGCCGCCGCGCGCATGGCCGCCGGCGCCGTGCTCGACCTGGCCGTGCGCGTCGCGCGCGGGGACCTGCGCAACGGGTACGCGCGCCCGCACACACATACACATATATACACAATTACCAAAATAGTCATTTTTGTACAATATTTATATCGTATTTTTAATACGTATAATTTTAATACAAAATGTATGATTACTTTAAATACTCGAATTTCATTTGACCTATTTTCACTACATATTAATTTAACTATTACTACGTCCAATTTTTAAACTGATTTGTCCTAGTATTTCCAACTTAAATCTTGGTTAAATTTGAGGTTGACAACCCCAGTAGGAGCAACTTCATTGCTACGTCCTACCTTTAAACTGATTTCTTCTAGTTTTTCCAACCACAAATCTGAAATTTTTATATATAAAGTTGGCAACTCTAATATAGAACAATAATGATACGAATCATAGTATCTACAGCACTATTCATGTATATAAAACAACAGTTACCAATTACCAAAAAATATACCGTCCCTTACATTGATATTCTAATTACATAAATAAATTAAAAAAAAAACACAATATTGAGCGTAACACTATGCGTGTTGCAGGTTCGCAGTGGTGAGGCCGCCGGGCCACCACGCGGAGCCCAACCAGGCGATGGGCTTCTGCTTCTTCAACTCCGTGGCAGTCGCCGCAAGGATACTGCACACCAAACTTAAACTGCAAAGGATACTCATCGTCGACTGGGTGAGTACCGTGCAATCGATCCACACATACAGACTGACATGTAAATAAAATTAAAGACAACATTCAATATGATCAGTAACATGTAAGTTTACACCGTTAAATTTCCTAAAATAAATAAATTGTTGCGGGTGAATAATAAGATGTTGCTGGTCGAGACGCGATGTATATTACAGATGATGATAAACTGACAATATGTACATAGAAATAATGATCTTATATACTAAATAACAATAGGAAAATATAAGGTGGGGTGACACAGTTTAGATACAGCAGTGCTTAGTAGACAATATTGAATTTGTCTTACTAGACATTATTAAATGCAATTATTATTTTATGTATCTAGGTGACTGTGTCCCATATAAATAAATAAATATTTACAATCAGCAGATACTTAAATATTTACACGAATACTTTTTAAACATAGGTAATAAATAAATATAGTAGGCTCAATAATGCATATATATAGACAAACAGGTGATAGAACAAATCATCATCTATGCCAGGAAGAAGATAGACAATTTCAAAAGAGTTAGTGATTACACTAATAAAAACTTCCGTAATTAGTATTTCGATAGAATTATTAATTTGTTTTATGGCAATTGCGTAAGATTTTACAACAAAATACCAGAGTCTGTTATAAATTTGTCTGAAAAAAGATTAAAATACTTCCTTTGCAAAAAATAAGATTAAAAAAACATAATATTTGCAAAATCACAACTTTACTATATTTGAATTAAAAAGAAATATATATTTATTCATTTACATATGTATATAACTATAATATAATATAATATATATGTATTTATTTCGATAATTTAAGAGGAATACAATTAAAACTTTGACCTTATCAAATCGCGGCTGAAGTACTACATAATATATTTATAATACGAAAAAAAAATGTGATAATAAAAACAGTAGAGAAACAAATAAATTAAAAAAAAAACTTATAGTTATTGTTTTTTTTTTTAAATTAAATGTCATGGGGTGACTCAGGACGTGCACCACGGGAACGGCACGCAGCAGATCTTCTACGAGGACCCGCACGTGCTGTACGTGAGCGTGCACCGGCACGACGACGGGAACTTCTTCCCGGGCACGGGCGCCGCCACCGAGTGCGGCGCGGGCGCGGGGCTCGGGTACAACGTCAACGTGGCCTGGTGCTCCGGGCCCGACCCGCCCTTCGGGGACGCCGAGTACCTCGCCGCCTTCCGCTCCGTCGTCATGCCCATCGCCAAGGTACCTCCCTCGCGACTTCCGTCTAAACTCAATAACTCCAAGGTCACTGACCTACTGATCTATCAACGCACAGCCCGAACCACCGGACGGATCGGGCTGAAATTTGGCATGCAGGTAGATGTTATGACGTAGGCATCCGCTGAGTTTGATTAATTCTATCCCCAAGGGGATAAAATAGGGAATGAAAGTTTATATGAAACTTTGTCAATTTTAAACCGATCGGGCTGAGACTTTGATTGCATAAAGCTACTATGACGTAGGCATCCCCTAAGAAAGGATTTTGATAAATTCCATCCCTAAAATGCGAAACCGCGAGCAAATACTAGTAAACTTATAAATGTAAAGATTTTTTTAAATGTACAATACTTTTCCTTTATTTCTATATAAATCTCGTAACATAAATGGTTCTCGTTGCTATATTAATATTGTGGGTTCATTCACGGCAGGAGTTCAATCCGGAGGTAGTGCTGGTGTCGTGCGGGTTCGATGCCGCGGCCGGCCACCCCGCGCCTCTGGGCGGGTACATGGTGTCGGCCGCCTGCTTCGCGCACATGACGCGGGATCTCATGACCCTCGCCAACGGGAAGGTAATTATTACACCGCTTAATAAGTGGTACTACCGTTCAAATCTCTCTATATTGTTTCTCATAGTGGACTGGAAAGAGAATGTTTGTATCCCTGATACTTTCAGAACTTGTAAGCGTCGTCGAGAATTGTTTTGTTTTGTAAATTAATTTATATATAATTTTGTATATTAATGTATTGAGATTTTTATGATTAGTGGGTATATCGTCTAAAGATGGATGGATTGTGTGAAAGATATGTATAAAAGGAGTGTGTGTGAGTGTGTGTGTGTGTGTGAGTGAGTGACATACTGTGCCATCTACAGATAATGGGATAAAGGCAAGGCATTAATGATGATGCGTGTGGGAGATAAAGGAAACCAGGGATTTGTGGTATATGTATATTTTATATAATAACATATTACAAAGAAACACTACTAACTAGGGCCAGGAAGGGAAACTGTAAGGAACAAAGAATACGAGGAAGACGATAGAATGAAGTGACAGTTTAGAATCGAATTTGGTATTTGAAGTATAAAACTTATAAAATAGATCATAGACTAAATAAGTGGCCTGTATTCCACAATATGTATATATTTTTTATAAGTATTTATTAATCTTTTATGGTTTCGGGTGCGATTCGAACATCGGTCCTTCGAGCCGGATAGGTTTCGGGTAAAACTCGAACATTAGTCCCTCGAGCCGGATAGGCGGTACAGATAGTAGTAACAGAGCGCGGTGCGACGTCAGGTGGTGCTGTCGCTGGAGGGCGGGTACGAGCTGCCGGCGCTGTGCGACTGCGCGGCCGAGTGCGTGCGCGCGCTGCTGGGCGAGCGGCCCGCCGAGCCCGCGCTCGCGGAGCTGGCCCGCGCCCCCCTCCCCCGCGCGCAGGCCGCCCTCCGCACCGCGCTCGCCGTGCACTGCGCGCGCCCCCTCCCCCGCGCGCAGCCGCCCTCCGAGCACTGCGTGCGCACACACCCCGCGCTGCTGGCGCGCCCCCCTCCCCCGCGCGCAGGCCGCCCTCCGCACCGCGCTCGCGCAGGCGCAGCACTGCGGTCCCCGACTGTTAGCTGGCCCGCGCCCCCCTCCCCCGCGCGCCGCGCTCGCCGTGCACGCAGCACTACACACCCCCGTCCCCGACTGTTACTGCTGGCCCGCGCCCCCCTCCCCCGCGCGCAGGCCGCCCTCCGCACCGCGCTCGCCGTGCAGGCGCAGCACTGGCCCGTGGTACGTACACACACCCCGTCCCCGACTGTTACTGCTGGCCCGCGCCCCCCTCCCCCGCGCGCAGGCCGCCCTCCGCACCGCGCTCGCCGTGCAGGCGCAGCACTGGCCCGTGGTACGTACACACACCCCGTCCCCGACTGTTACTGCTGGCCCGCGCCCCCCTCCCCCGCGCGCAGGCCGCCCTCCCCACCGCGCTCGCGCGCAGCAGGCGCAGCGCACTGGCCCGTGGTACGTACACACACCCCGTCCCCGACTGTTACTGCTGGCCCGCGCCCCCCTCCCCCGCGCGCAGGCCGCCCTCCGCACCGCGCTCGCCGTGCAGGCGCAGCACTGGCCCGTGGTACGTACACACACCCCGTCCCCGACTGTTACTGCCGTACGCCGCGCCGGGGGCGACGGCACAGTGGGACACGCCGAATACTAACTACAATACTTAATAAGTAAGAATGTTCATGTTATAGGTAGGTGAATATATGGAAGAGTTTTGAATAATTCAAATTGTACATACAGATACAGAGAGTAACCGTTTTGTTTGAAAAATTCAGCGCTACGATGTGTGCGAACGTGTTTTAAACAGTATACGATTATATAAAAAGCAGTATTACAGTATATTACAGCATAAAATCTTAGTCTTCCAAAATGATACGTATAAATATATATATACGAACTGACGGTAGTTTTTGACATATTATAAGAGTATAATAGATCTACATGAATGAAGATATTTTGATTTGATTTCATTGTCATTAGTTGCTATTTGCCCTCAAATGGACCTTCAGCTTATTTGCCATTCCAAGTACCTAGTAAATTTACAACTACACCTATTTTACGACTCGGATAAGCTATTCTGCGAAGCTCAAGTGTTTGAAGAAATCATAACGATATGTTTGTGTGCAGGTAAAGCGCTACAGCGAATCGGTGGGCCTGTCGGCGCTGGAGGCGGGCGCGAGTGGTGTGGGGGGTGTGGGGGGTGCGGGGGGCGCGGGGGGCGCGGCGGGCCGCCTGCAGACGGAGCGGGACGCCGCCGACACGGCCGCCGCCATGGCCACGCTCTCCATGCACCACGCGCCGCCCTGTCTGCGGTACGAACCTCCACTGGGACCTCCGGGCCCCGCTGATAACCTACGCCCTACTCCTTGGCAACCAGCGTGGCTAGTAATGAAATAGACAGGCCTAACTGCTGGGATGTCATCTTCATCCTTGTTCGCTTTATTTTTATCTTTTTTTATACCACATAGGTGGCAAACAAGCATACGACTCATCTGATAGTAAACGGTTACCGTAGCCCATGGACGCCTGAAATACCAGAGGTGTCACGTGCGCGTTGCCGACCCTTAAGAAACCTTAATATACCCTTCTTAAAAAACCCCATGCTGTAGTCTCGTGTGAAAACCTCGGCAGGTAGTTCATTCCACAATCTAAATGTACGCAGGAGGAAGCTCCTCTGAAACTGCACTGTCCGAGACCACTTAGGTTCTAGAGTGTGCGGATGAATTCCCTGTCGATGGCGAGCGGTGCGATGGTGAAAGGTAGCCGTAGGCATCATGTCGAACAATTCTTCAGAACACAGTCCGTTGTATATTCGGTAGAACACACAAAGCGATGCTAAGTTTCATACAAAGTTGTGTAAAACATTTAAGTAACTACAAATAATGTATATTTCAAAAGATGATGAGAATTTCTTACTTTGTGTCATCTTTTTGATTACAATTTCGTTACGAGAAATATGTAAAAATCTTAAGGTTTTATATGAATGTAATGTTAATATTTGCTTCAGGTCGGCGGATAGTTCGCGGTCGGTATCAGAGGAGCCAATGGAGCAAGACGAAGGCAAGTGAAGCGCCCCGGAGCGACCTGGCCTCCACTTCGCCCGGACGTAGCGCGGCCGGTCCCGTCCGGCCCGTGCGGCCCGTCCGGCCCGGTCCGGCCCGGCCCGCCCGGTCCGCTCCGGTCCGCAGACGCGCGCCCTCTGTACATTATTACGTTTTATATTTAACACTTAAACATTCCCCGCGCGCCCGCCTCCCGCCCCGCGGACGAAAGTTATTTATTTAGCTACGTGTAAAGAGAAACTATATTTTGTGGACGCTAAGTTTAAGAGAATTTATGTATATTTATGTTGACGTATATGTTAGCGCTGGAGGAGGCCCCGCGCGGCGGTGCGAGGGGGAGGGGGAGCGGCAGGAGCTGGGGACGCAGGGGGGGGGGTGAGGAGGGGAGGGGGGGGTGAGGAGGTGGCGCCGGTCACGTGGCCACGCGTCGTAGCGCGCCGTAACGTCGTAAACGAAACGCGTCCTGCCAAATACTTGTTTTGTAAATCGCAATGTGCTATATGTATATTACATAAAAGTGTCTATTCGATGTAATAATTCATAATGAATTAGTAAAGGTATAGAGAATTATATGTGTAGGTGGTAAAGTTAAGACAAATCTTAATTTGAAAGCTTTAAAGAGAGTAGTAAAATATTAATAATGTGTACAAAAGATATTTATATTATATATTTGAATATTTTTAAATATATGTAGGAAGTATATGTTGTTCGTGCTCGTAGTACGCACCAGGCGGCCGCCCGCTCGCGTCACTGTACCAAAGATTGTTTCCAATACAGAGTAACCGCGTGTAATACTTCTTCGTTGTATATAAATCTATATATTGTGAACATTTCTATGAAGAGTAACGAAACTTTTGTATGAACATTTAATACTGAATTTATCTCCGTATACTTTAAGTAGGGCCCGGCCGCCCGGAAGCATAATGCGACGGTAATATAGAAGGCGGCCGGTTAACTGTGAATTTGTTTTAAGTATATGTTTTGATGGTGATGCCCTCTATTTATACATTTGTCTATGTGATAAAAGTATTGTAATAAATGCTTATAAAGATACTGATAGTTGTCTACAGTCGCGGGGAGGGCGCCTCCCCGATTGTTGCAATCCTGCGTCGATACCTAACGTTGAAGTTGTTTTGGTGCTCATTAGCTGTGTGCACAAGATATATAACACGTTTCTGTCCCCGCGGCACGCGCTGCCAGGGAACTTGTGTAAAATTCTATGTAACTACGACTCGTAGTTTGTACTGTTGTAACAGTTTTCTATCTTTGTTGAATATTGTACATTGTCTAACATGTCTCCCATTGTTGAGATAGTAATGCTTATTTCGAGCTGGAGCCTGATGAGAACTAGTCTCCAGTTTCTATTCACATTCCATAGGCTTAGCATCGCTTGGTATACGAGGCGGTATAAGCTTCTGGAATGTTCGTTTCTGTGCGCCGCTGATGTTACACTTCAAGTGTGGGGGTGATGTGCGGTCACTACCCGCCACGTGGTGGTGGCGTGGCGCGGCTCCGACTCCTGTATTTTTGTATGAAGGCTGTCCGTGAGCGTGTACTGTATACGTAACGTATATACCTGTATACCTGCCGGTAGGTAGCACGTACCAGAGGGATGCGATCCTTGTACGATAAACAGAGTTAAACAATGTTGTGTCTTTGAAAATTTTATTGTTAAATTGGAATACAGATGAAAGAAATATTTAATAAATGTATATATATATTTGGAATTTTAACTGTATTTTTATTTCGAAACCTTTTATTACTACCAAATAATATGTTATAAAAACGAAGTACAAACAAAATTAAACCATAAACAACAATTAATTGAAGAAGATTTTATACAAAAATAAACATTTCTTACAGACTAATTATTACAAAAATAATTCACGTATATAGACAGAGATATGTCAAGTCGAGTTGCGCATAATTCGGGTTAACTCGAGTTGAATTCTGCCAACTCGAGTTGGAAGAATTCAACTGGTAAATGAACGAATCAAATGAAAAAGCGAGAGCATGATTCTGTCATCGAACCGACAATGACATGAAATTTTCCGATCATTTCATATCATACAATTTTCACTCGTCACAAATACGTATTGATTTGAGGTTGTCATCATTTTTTTTTCGCATATTCGTCCGATTATGTTATCATTAAAATGATTATGCGATCTATAAGTCCTTCTGCGGCTTTAAAGTGGCATTTCTACTCTCGCCCTCTATAGTTCGGTGAATCTTTGAAAAGGCTGGCTGCGCCCAAAAACATTAGAATTGTTCGAAATAATAAAAATTTTATTCCAGGTAATTCGAGTGAACTCGAGTTACCTGAATTTCAACTCGAGTTAACTCGAGCCATGTGTATTACGAGTTAGCACATCTCTATATAGACATATACAATGTTACAATTAACTATTTTATTAGTTAATAACAGTTTTGAACACAAAACAAAAATAATGTAATCTACGGCCGTAATTCTCATTTTTAACTGTAAATTATAATAGTAATGTTTGGGTTCACATCGATATTGTCGAAAAATCTGATGTTTTAAAAATATTAACAGAAGGTAGTTTCATTATTACTCGGTATCGTTAAACTAGTTGCATATAACCCCCACTCATATCTTCTCTGTAGAAAAGGGAGGGTTTTTGTAAGCCGCGGCATTCGGTGTTTGAGCACAGGATGTGCTGGTTGTATTTTAAGTGCTAAAGTAAAGTAATTAATTATATTTAAATAGTGCTTCTCTGGATGTCTTCAAGAGAGATGGCAATATGTATGTTTATATGTACAAGTTATTATGTGTTAAGTTTTTCAAGTGTACAATAAAGAATAAATATTTTTAAGTACAGTGCTTACGTACATTAAAAAAGTACCTACTTTTTACTGGTATCTATTGTTATCAAAATTAAATTATAAGTTCTTGGCTTGACCATGACTACGTGACCTCCTCCTGGCGCCAAATCTGAATCCGACATTGCCAGCAGATTAAAAAAAATAATTTCAAAATATCTTTATTCATGTAGGTCTATTACAGATTCTTATGATATATCAAATCTACCGTTAGTTCGGAATGATATTGAGATGAGAAGAACTGACAAGAAACTCAGTTCGTATTCTTTTCAAATAATAGTGGAACATGTTTATAATACACAGTCATTAAAATTCAAATTTGGGAGAATAGAGTGACCACCAGCATATGCTATCGCAAAGAACAAAAAATTTAATCAGTGTTCACAACCTGAACAGACCAGTAGAAGCAGCACCTGTTCACGAGTATGACGGGTGAGCACCATTGCACCATCATTGCACTCAACCATATTAGAGGCAGATAATTTCATTCTTGATAAATACATATTCCTTATCCATTACTTTCAAAGCTATCTAAAACCAGATGCAACCTGATAACCTAACCAAATTATTTTGACTTATATAGTTGCTATTTTCTTCAACCTTCTTCATTATAACTCCATTTATGGTATGGGTTCCAGGGAGTTTTTACGAGAGTGTTTTAAGGAATCAAATATCCTCACCGTTGCTTCTCAATACATTTATGAAAATATCATCTATGCCAGGAAGAATATAGACAATTTCAAAACAGTTAGTGATTGCACTTATAAAAGCTTATGTAACAATAACAAACTGATTTTACCTAAATGTCGTTTGGCTAAAGTTAGTAATTCGTTTTATGGCAATTGCGTAATGTTTTACAACAAAATACCAGAGTCTGTTATAAATCTGCCAGAAAAAAGATTTAAATGTCATATAAAATACTTTCTTTGCAAAAAAGCTTAGTATAAAATTGAAGAATTCGTTTTCGACAATAATGTTTTTATAGAAAAACTTAAATTCTATAGCACTAACAATATTATCTTATTACACTAATGGTGCGTAGCGATTTCTATGTTGATCATCGCATGCCTGTTACTTGTTATACTATAATTATTACCTATATAAAAAAAAACATATATTCAAAAGAGCAACACACAAGTTTCTTGCTCATTCTTCTTGTGATGAATCTGCATTCCGAATGAGTGGTAGAATCAAAATATGACTATTCAAAAGTGCTTGTAATGAGTTTATTTGAATAAAGATTATTTCTATTTCTATGTTATAAAAATATATATAATATGTATATACGTTTCGTCATATATTTATTCTAGTTGACATTGTATAGTATTATCTTGTACAAACTTGTGCGGAGCTTTATAACATTTACGTACGTACATATGCGTGCGTGAATATTTCGTGCGTACATGTTTGTTTGTGTGTTTGACTAGAACCGGTCGGGCGGGTCCAGGGTGCTGCAGCGACAGTTGCACGAACTGACCGGACACTCAGAGTGTTCCCTGCCGGAAACATACAACAATCAGCTCGTTTTATAACACATTTTCATAGTATGAAGTTACATATTTCCATAGTATGAAGTTGTTATCATTGTTGCGAACTATTTTTTATATATACTTTATTGCACTTTTAAATACAAGTTTTGAATATATGTTATAACTTTTGTTTATAAAGGAGGACTTATCTCTAAAAGAGATCTCTTCCAGTCAACCCGAAACGGCGTGACTCAGGAAGTAGTGTGTGGGTCACAGGAGTGCAAATAATAAAATTAAGAAAAGATAAAATTAAAATTAAAACTAAAGAATTAATGTCAAATGTGATATATAACTACAAATACAGCAATGTACCATGTCAGGTTGATCTCTATGCGATTTCCCCTGGAAATTATCATGATGAATTCCTGATGAATTTGTCACGATGTGCTAATTGCCCTGATCTCATACTCGTCTTATCATCCTCCACTGGTACTCCAGCGTAAACCGTTAGTTTATACGTGTAGTTTGTTTATAATATATATAATTATGTATGTATGTATGTATGCTTATAATATTTTGTATGTAGTATATTATCACGTATATGTATAATGTTATATCTATTTAATATAATTATATTTAATATATTAAAACCAAACCGCCTTCGAGTATCTCTGCATTCCCTAAGCATGAAGCTCGCCTATTGTACAAATATAATAGTTTTAAATCTTATATATAAAATTCTCGTGTCACAGTTTTCGTTCCCATACTCCTCCGAAACGGCTCGACCGATTCTTATGAAATTTTGTGAGCGTATCGAGTAGGTCTGAGAATCGGCCGACATCTATTTTTCATCCCCCTAAATGTTAGGGGTAGTCCACCCCAAATTTTTTTTTACTTTAAGGCAAAACAACGTTCGCCGGGACGGCTAGTATATAACTAAAACCGTGGTGGGAGAGTACGCACTTGAACCAGTGGAGCAGATGCGCGGCGTGTCCGGCGTGCCTGCAGGCCACGCACCAGCTGAACCAGCCCGCGAACGGAGCCCCCGCGGCCGCGCCCAGGTGCAGCGCGCACACGGCGCAGCGCGGGAGCGGCTTGCGGCAGTGCGGGCAGGCCGACAGCTGCTTCATCTTGGCGGCGGGCGGCGGCAGGCGCGCCGGCCGCGCCCGCCCGCCCACCACCGCGCCCGCCGCCGCCACCGCCTTGCCGCAGTACGAGCAGGCCACGCACGCCAGCCGCGCGCCCCCCGCACCACCCGCACCGCCCGCACCCCCGCCCGCCCACGTGTCCACCGCGCACCGCGCCCACCACAGCTGCCACCCGTCCAGCACGCACCGGTAGCTGCGGACCGCCCTCGCTCTCGGTTAACGCTCACTCGACAGTTTATATTTGATTTGTTATTTATTCATATTGAGCAAAATAATTGAATAATCATTAATGACATTAAAAAAATTACTTAGTAATGACAAATATATGTTGACAACAAAAGTAAAAAAATACTAAACATATTAATAATATAAATATGATCTCATACCAAAACAACAATTAATATTATATTGTGGCATGCTAATTAGAACTAATCAGATGTAGAGAATATAATTTGTATTGAATATACAATGCTTCAACGTAACTACACACATAATAACACATTATTATTAGAATTTGCAAAGTACGTCATACAGTCTACCGTCAGCATGTTTTTGCATTGTATTAAATTAATTATAGAGAACAATAAAGTAAATCCTACCTATTAACTGCCTTTTTTACATCTACCTTCTTTTAGCTACAAATCACTTTTCATGTAGGAAATAGTGGGCATGTAAGACGAAGAGAATGTAAAAGAGACAAACCGATGAATTTTTAAATATTTAATTTATTTTAAGTTAATATCGAACGAAAAACACCCTAATTGTTAAAAGAAAATTCTCACGTCAAAATATATGTATTTTAAACAAAAAGCGGTAGACTTTTTGTTCTTGAAATCTTTACTTTATGATGATTTAAAAAAAATATACATAATAATGGTAAGTTTTAGGAAATGGGTGTCATCGTACATTTTTTTTTTTAATTTTTACTATCAATAAAGTATTTCTGCACTGGTCTATACCTCGCAACAAAGAGGTATGTACATGTCGAGCCAGTGCTGCACGTCCCCCGAGCCCTGCACCCTCCAGCTGTACCTGTCGAGCCAGTGCTGCACGTCCCCCTAGCCCTGCACCCTGCACCCTCCAGCTGTACCTGTCGAGCCAGTGCTGCACGTCCCCCTAGCCCTGCACCCTGCACCCTCCAGCTGTACCTGTCGAGCCAGTGCTGCACGTCCCCCTAGCCCTGCACCCTGCACCCTCCAGCTGTACCTGTCGAGCCAGTGCTGCACGTCCCCCTAGCCCTGCACCCTGCACCCTCCAGCTGTACCTGTCGAGCCAGTGCTGCACGTCCCCCGAGCCCTGCACCCTCCAGCTGTACCTGTCGAGCCAGTGCTGCACGTCCCCCTAGCCCTGCACCCTGCACCCTCCAGCTGTACCTGTCGAGCCAGTGCTGCACGTCCCCCGAGCCCTGCACCCTCCAGCTGTACCTGTCGAGCCAGTGCTGCACGTCCCCCTAGCCCTGCACCCTGCACCCTCCAGCTGTACCTGTCGAGCCAGTGCTGCACGTCCCCCTAGCCCTGCACCCTGCACCCTCCAGCTGTATCTGTCGAGCCAGTGCTGCACGTCCCCCTAGCCCTGCACCCTGCACCCTCCAGCTGTACCTGTCGAGCCAGTGCTGCACGTCCCCCGAGCCCTGCACCCTCCAGCTGTACCTGTCGAGCCAGTGCTGCACGTCCCCCGAGCCCTGCACCCTGCACCCTCCAGCTGTACCTGTCGAGCCAGTGCTGCACGTCCCCCGAGCCCTGCACCCTGCACCCTCCAGCTGTACCTGTCGAGCCAGTGCTGCACGTCCCCCGAGCCCTGCACCCTGCACCCTCCAGCTGTACCTGTCGAGCCAGTGCTGCACGTCCCCCGAGCCCTGCACCCTGCACCCTCCAGCTGTACCTGTCGAGCCAGTGCTGCACGTCCCCCGAGCCCTGCACCCTGCACCCTCCAGCTGTACCTGTCGAGCCAGTGCTGCACGTCCCCCGAGCCCTGCACCCTGCACCCTCCAGCTGTACCTGTCGAGCCAGTGCTGCACGTCCCCCGAGCCCTGCACCCTGCACCCTCCAGCTGTACCTGTCGAGCCAGTGCTGCACGTCCCCCGAGCCCTGCACCCTGCACCCTCCAGCTGTACCTGTCGAGCCAGTGCTGCACCCCCCGAGCCCTGCACCCTCCACCCTGCACCCTCCAGCTGTACCTGTCGAGCCAGTGCTGCACGTCCCCCGAGCCCTGCACCCTGCACCCTCCAGCTGTACCTGTCGAGCCAGTGCTGCACGCGGTGGTCGCGCATCATGTCTGCGGTGAAGCAGCGCGCGGCCACCAGCGCCGCCGACTGCACGTCCCCCGAGCTCTCCACCCACCGCTGCAGCAGCGCGATGCCCTCCGGACTCGCACCTACCACGCACGTACACACGTCACAAACGTCACACACAATATGCTCGTAATACGTAAGTACGGTCTTTACTTCCGGTGGTCGCTGGTGCGATTCCTCGAATCGTGACTATATTGTTTGTATCGGTCTGGGTGTTTCTATGTATATAACGTATGTATTCACAGTAAAATCTATGTATTTGTATCAGTTGTCTAACACACATAACAGGTCTACTTAGTTTGAGGCAAGATGGCGCTATGTGAATTGTTCAGGGAAACTATTATTAAATTCATTCATTTGGGATTTCTAGTTGTTGATAACCCCAAGATGGGCTTGAGGAAACTCAAAAATATAAAAAAAGGGTGTTTGGGAAATTACTCTGCTACCAAAATGTTAGGGAATTTACTCTCTGTATATATATAGTGACAAATGAGTGGAAGCGTCAGTCACGTACCTGTATGGTTCTGCGGATTTCTTGGGCTTCAGGGTCTCGAAGATATCTTCGCTAGCTTTCCAGTTTCACAGTAGGTTTCACAGTTCTAATTTATTTTAATTCACAACACAATGCGCGCGTGTCATGGCCGCCGTACAGTCGGTTCAGTACTGGGAAGGGGAGGGGAACAGAAACCGCGGGAACACAAACTAACGGACTCTAATATAATAATCTGTGCTTACGATGGTACAGGGTAGATTTTGAACAAAGGGTACAAATAGATCAGTTAATAATGGTTTCGTTCGTACCTGTGAGCAGTATGCCGGAGAGATCGCCCTGTTCGACGAGCGCGTCGCACGTCTGCTTCAAGTACTCGTGCAGCTTCGCGTCTGACAAGAAAATGCATGCGAACGCCACGCGGTCTTCTAAGCGCATTTCAGTTTCGTTCTATACATAAACAGAATAGAATAGAATAGAATAGAAAATAATTTATTCAAATATATTCGGAAAGCTGTCTTATTACGACTAAAACGGGATGTGTATGGATGTAGTGGTGTGTACGGAGGAAAGAGTAACGAAAGCGGCATTCTTGAGTAGTGTTGAATTATACAATAGCGTATAGCGAGAAGGGGAACACAGACCGTCCCGTCGGTGAAACAGTAATGAAGTCTGGAAAGAAGAAATGATCGTGAAATGGCGTTGTAGTTAGTGGAAAGGAACGTCGGGCGGTGGAACGTTATCGAAGTTGTCGGGAAAACAGAATGAGCGGTGGAACGGCATTGAAGTTACTAGGAAGACGGGAGGTTCGGTGGAAAGGCATCGAAGTCGCTGGGATGAGGGAAGGGGTGGTGGAATGGTTGGTGGAATGGTGGTGGAAAGCGCGGTACTCACGAGCACGGCGCTGAGGTCGGGGTGGGGCGCGGCGGCCTGCGCGGGGTGTGCGGGGGCGGAGGCGGCCAGGAAGTGCAGCAGCGCGCGCAGGTAGGCGTCGGGCAGCGCGGGCGCGGCGGCGGCCAGCGCCTCGCGCCACAGCCGCTCCTCGCTGAGGCCGGCCAGCGCCAGCGCCACCACGCGCAGCTGCGGCTCGCGCGCGCGCGCCAGCACGTCCAGCGCCGCGCGCAGCCGCAGGTGGAACGCGGCCAGCGCCGCCGCGCGGCACGGCGTGCCGGCCGCCTCCGCGCGCTCCACGCCCGCCGCCGCGTTCTCCCAGCCCCAGCCCCAGCCGCACAGCTGCAGCGCGCGCGTGCGCTCCGCCGACCGGAACACCGTCACGCGCCGCGCCGGCAGGTCGGCCAGCAGCGACGGCACCATCTCCGACCGGTAGCCGCTCTCGCCGCCGCCGCCGCCGCCGCCGCCGCCGCGGAACACCGTGCGCACGCCCGGGTGCTTCCACGGGCTGTTCCGGATGCACCCTGCGCACATCGCTCTCGTTAGACCGAGCTCCGCCGGCTACGGCGTCGAGGATTCCCCGCCACTCACCGTCCTCGACGAGCGACTTGCTCAGCGCCAAGAAGTGCCACAGGCCGGCGAGCGCCTCGTCGTCGGCCAGGTCCGCGTTCTGCCACAGGTCCGGCTGCGGGCAGACGAGGGAGGTGAGCGCGCGCCCCGTCCCCGGGGAGCGGGGGGCGGGGCGGGGCGCGGCGCACCTTGAGGCCGTAGTCGGTGTGGGCGCGGCGCCGCATCACGTACGAGACGTCCCGCAGCGCCTCGTAGAAGTCGTCGGCCATGAGGCGCAGGGCGGACCCCCCCGCGGACCACACAAGGCCGCCCCCCGCGCCCCCCGCGCCGCCCGCGCCCCACGCCACAGTCACGCGCTCGCACACCGTGTAGTCCACCGCCGCGCCTGCGAACAACACATCGCATTAAACTACTACACTCTCATCTAACCTAATCTTCAAGAGCGCCTTATTACTCACTACTTATATACACTGTAATTAACAAAAAACACAATGTGTCTCTGTCTCACTTATTTTAAACATAATATAACATAATTTACAAACTGAGCCCTGAAGAAAAATATAAGAAGAAAATATAACTCGGAAGATTTAAGGAACACACAAACTTTAAAAAAAAGTGATATGACATGAACCATACATACAAAAACGCGCGTAAGAGAGTACACAAAAAAATGCAATCCCATGCGATTGCTCGCCCTAATTTTCCCGCGCTAAATCGCGCGCGCTTCTACTTGCTCGTGAAAAAACGTGTCATGTAAAGGCAGCTAATCAACACTTGTACTAACCTGTAACGCCGACGGCGAGCAACCTCGCCTCATGAGTGGGGTGCCAGCTGAAGGTGGCCAGCTGCTGCGTGGGGGCCGCGGGGGCTGCGGGGGCGGTGGGGGCGGCGGCAGAGGGGGCGGAAGTAGCGGGGGGCGTGGGGCTGGGCATCGGCGTGACGTCACGCTCGATGACGCTCGGCCCCCGTGGGTACTCCTCCCACTCTGCCTCCACAGCTGTCGCCGCTATTGCCTGTATGCAATGTAATATTGAATCCGCGAGACACCAACTAAGTAAGACCTCATCATAATATTTTTAAATATCCTACTAATATTATAAATGCGAAAGTAACTTTGTCTGTCTGTCTGTCGTACTTTCACGCCAAAAGTACTGAACCGATTTAAATGATATTTGGTACACATATAGTCTAGAACCTGAGAAAGGATATAGGCTACTTTTTAATCTGAATTTGCGCGGACGAAGTCGCAGGCACATCTAGTATATATATACAATGTAGATAATTGTAATTATGTTCTTTGTCTTTCTCTTCCTGCCCAGCCAAATCTGATAGGAGCTAGCTGCTAGAGCACCTTCTAGTATAGAACTTACTGCAGTTCTAGACAGGCCAAGATGTTTGTAGAGATTTCTCTGGTATACCTCTCGCTTCCTCTTCGACTACATGTAAATTCTTATGCCCAATTTACACTCAGCCCGAGTGGGCAGGGAAGTGAACATCACGAGAGTGTAAACACGAGTGGAAACACTTCCCATGCCATTGGCGCTGCCACTCGCGCTGCCCGGCGCTCCCTCGATTGTCGGTTTTTCGTGCCCGAGTCAAAGGACTGACAGCTGTCGCCCGGTAATATTTCCGGCAGCGCGAGTGGCAGGTGAAGCGGCAGAATGTAAACGTAGCATTACTAATATTACAAATGCGAAAGTAACTCTGTCTGTCTGTCTATCTCGCTTTCACGCCAAACCTATCTAAGAACCGATTTAAATGAAATTTGGTACATAGATAGTCTAAAACCTGAGAAAGGACGTAAGCTACTTTATAATCCGAAAAGGGTTGTTAGGGCTTGGAATGGGAGATGAAAGGTTACATAGAAGTATCGATAATTTACGCGGACGAAGTCGCGTGCACGTCCAGTTAAGCATATTGACTAAATATACATAAACGAACAAAACTATATCACCTCGTTGTCAACTATACTTGCGGTCTTGCAGTCGCTGTTTGCCTGCTGTATGTCGTGGAGCCGCAGTGTGCTCGAGTCACGTTGCAGGGACAAGAGAAGATTTCGTCTAAAATTTAATATCTTTAGGTAATTTTTTTTCTTCTTGAGTTCTGCTCAAATTCTAGAACTTCATTCTTAAGATAGACAGTTGATCTAAACTTGTAACTTAACGTGTTATAATTATAATTTATTTATTTACCAAAATTGTTTCAATACAATCTCAATAAAGTCTAAAGTACAATTTGCTCAGCTAAAATATCCTAAAACTATATAGCAAGACTAATATAGTAATAAGTGAGGTGGCGAGTGAGTATGTGTAAGGTGTCTGTGTGTAGGTGGTGCATGAATATGGTTGGTGTGTATTATGAGATTACTGCGAGTGTTTTCAGAATCATCATAATTCATACTTTTCAAGAGATTGCTTGCGTTAACTTTTACCTCTTTGACCGTATAGTTTCTTAGATTTGATGATTTGTTAATTTTATTGTAAACTAGCTGTCCAGACAAACGTTGTTTTGCCTTAAAATAAAAAAAAAATTTAGGCGTGGACTACCCCTAACATTTAGGGGGATGAAAAATAGATGTTGGCCGATTCTCAGACCTACTTAATACGCTCACAAAATTTCATGAGAATCGGTCAAGCCGTTTCGGAGGAGTATGGGAACGAAAACTGTGACACGAGAATTTTATATATAAAATAAATGGAATCATAGGAAGTTCACAATCATCATCAGGACAATCATCATGTTAGGGAGAGTACTTCTTCTGTCTTTCTATATTAGATCAAATATAACAATTTTAATTGCATAATTCAAATTGTTATATTTGATGATTCTCATTATTAACAATCATTTGTTAATAATGAGAATTCTCATTCAAAAACCCTGACCTGACACAGGTCATCCTCACCCCATGGGGGTAGTAAAGTTGGGACTATGGGGTGAACCTCATTACCCCGGCATTTGCTCCGCGAGCAACGGGTCCCGGGTAATAGTTTGAGAGCCTCCTGCTAAGCAGGTTACTACACTTTCAATCAGGAATCAAATATCCTCACCGTTGCCTCTCAATACATTTATGAAAATATCATCTATGCCAGAAGGAATATAGACAGTTTCAAAAGAGTTAGTGATTGCACTAATAAAAGCTTACGTAACAATAACAAACTGATTTTACCTAAATGTCGTTTGGCTAAAGTTAGTAATTCGTTTTATGGCAATTGCGTAAGGTTTTACAATAAAATACCAGAGTCTGTTATAAATCTGCCAGAAAAAAGATTTAAATGTCAAATAAAACAGTTCCTTTGCAAAAAAGCTTACTATAAAATTGAAGAATTCGTTAACGATAATAATGTTTTTATAGAAAAACTTTAAATCTATAGCACTGACAATATTATCTGATTACACTAATAATGAGCGTAGCGACTTCTATGTTGATTATCGCATGCCTCTTACTTCTTATACTGTAATTATTTATATAAAAAAAAACATCTATTAAAAAGACAAGTATTCTTCTTGTGATGAATCTGCATTCCGAATGAGTGGTAGAATCAAAATATGACTATTCAAAAGTGCTTGTAATGAGTTTATTTGAATAAAGATTATTTCTATTTCTATTTCAATCTGGTGCAATAAAGTGTATAAATAAAAAAAAAGGATTGTATGCTGAAACCTGCCGAAAACCAACGGACTGCCGTCGTCTTCTCTCCGCCTCCACCAGCCTTTCTCTTTCTCTCACAATACGTTATAGCGCATGAGAGAGAAATACTAGTGAGACGATATATCGTCGTGAAGGGGTTCACGTGACTGTAACGCTTTTTCGTAACCGAAAATTCAGAAAAGTCAGCTCGTGACCACGGCTAGTGCAACCTAGTCGAAACGTCGAGAGAGGTAAATACCTTTATTTGCCATAAAATTATTCGTGTTAAGACCCGGTTAATAATTTAAATAATGTATATTAAATACGAAAATATAAAAAAAAAAATGAAAATTCCTTTTTTTAAATTCTCACTAATGTTTTTTTTAACTTTTAGTTTTGGGTGTGTTTATTGTTTATGTTTAATTTTACAAGAAGTTTATTGCAATAGTGAAAGTGTCTTGTGTTGAAGAATCTACTTAATAAATACCATTTCACGTTGTGACTGGTGCGGGACCACAACAACTATTAATAAAAATAATTGAAATAAATGTGAATATTTCCCAAAAGGGTTCACAGCGAAACGTGTAACAAGATGTCAAAAGTGACATATAAAAAACAGATATAAAAAAAATACAATGTTTATAGAAAAAATGGTAGACAAGCTGCCAGCAACACATTTTTCGTTATAAACTTGAAGTGAGACTTCAAATGGATGTGTGTGGCCGTACCTGGTGGGGCACCACTGTATCTTGGTGACGGGGCGGGGCTGCGGCAGCGTGAGCAGGGGGCGGGCCAGCGAGCGCGCGTCCCACACACACACACAGTGCTCGCCGCGCGACGCCACCTGCCAGCCCCCGTGGGGGTCGGCCACCGCGCCGTAGCAGTACCGGGTCGTCGCCACGCTCACAGCCTTGTTCGACAGGTCTGACAAACGAATACACTCTCTACAAGGTCCTCTGCAGAAGTTTTTTTTCTACCGATTCACCGGCCGATAGGGGGCGACTGCATATGACACTCCAAACCAAAGCAAGGGTTTATGGAGCGGTTCAGTCGGCAGCAACTTTAGTTTAAAGGCACTACCAGAAGATCGAACCTCTGCTAACCTGATCAGGCTGTCATAATTTTGACACTTTGTTTGAATTGGACGGGGGATCGATCGGAGAATGGACGGGGGATCGATCGGAGGATAGACGAGGGATCGATCGGAGGATGGACGGGGGATCGATCGGAGGATGGATGGGGGATCGATCGGAGGATGGACGAGGGATCGATCGGAGGATGGACGAGGGATCGATCGGAGGATGGACGGGGGATCGATCGGAGGGTGGACGGGGTTCGATCGGAGGATGGACGAGGGATCGATCGGAGGATGGACGGGGGATCGATCGGAGGATGGACGGGGGATCGATCGGAGGATGGACGGGGATCGATCGGAGGATGGACGAGGGATCGATCGGAGGATGGACGGGGGATCGATCGGAGGATGGACGAGGGATCGATCGGAGGATGGACGAGGGATCGATCGGAGGATGGACGGGGGATCGATCGGAGGATGGACGAGGGTTCGATCGGAGGGTGAACAGGGGATAAATCGGAGGGGTTTGTATGAATACATCTCACGTATGATTCATAAAGATGCGTTTTCTTTAATTCACCATAATTACTGGGTATGAAAGCATGACCTATGGAAATGAATCAGGAATGGTAATTAGTTGTACTCCAGGTGTATAACGACTTCAATAACGACGTGACTATCATACTATTATTATCTTTACAGCATAATGCTCAGTTGACAGTTGGGATGTTCCATCAGGTGAACCAGCTTGATTGAATGTGCCACATTTAAATAAAAATAAAGAACTCGGGTTCGATTCCTCGCGCGGCACATACATTTGTATTCATGAGTATGATTGTTTGTATCAGTCTGGGTGTTTTCTATGTATAATATACTGATACATATACATAATAATATCTATGTATTTGTATCAGTTATCTAGTACCCATAACACAAGCTTTAGCTAGCTTAACTTGGGTCTAGATGGCGCTGTATGAATTGTCCTGAGATTATTATTATTATTATAAAGAACTGATTGTGTAATAAATAGGTTTAATACCTCTTAAATCAAATATCTTGATGAACTTGAGGTTCATGCTGGCGAGCAGTGTGCGGTTGGAGCTGTTGGTCCATGACACACTGTGAGCTGTTTCTGACAGACCCATCTCTGCTATAGGCCTCACTGACTCGGTAGCTGGCGTTGCTGCACTCTCAGTACCTTTCAACATTCATCATTACATAGTATAAAACAAAGTCGCTGTCGCTGTCTGTCCCTATGTATGCTTAAATCTTTAAAACTACGCAACGGATTTTGAAGCGGTTTTTTTAACAGATAGAATGATTCAAGGGGAAGGTTTATATGTATAATTTAAACATTTTCATCACTTTGACAGTAATACCACAGATAACATACTGATAAATACTGTCCACAGATCCTTTATAGTAAGAATTTACAAATTTTATATACTTATATTAATATATAATATTTTTGTAATCAACATATTTTCATCACTTAAACAACAATTTATCGATCCCTTACAGTGAGAGTTAACAAAAATATATATACTTATACTAGCAGCTCCCGGCCACGCATTGCTGTGGCTAAGGTTCTTGAATAAAATAATATTGCTACTATAAATTGAGATGTAAGTTATCCTATCTTTCAAGTTGGATCAAATTGCACACAATGTGACAAATAATTTTCTTATATATATAGATTATTATATTTACCTTTATCGGTCTGTGGTGGCGGAGTGCGGTTGACGTCCCACAGTAGAATACAGTGGTCGTTACGATACTTCTCCAAAGCCACTGCCAGCATGTTGGTCTCCACGTGACTCCAGGACACAGAGTTGCACAGACGAGGGTACCTTGGCGCTGGTTAACATAAGTAATAATCAGTCTTGTGTTAAATTTTTAGTGGTTTACCATATTACTTCTAATGTGTGCAGGTTCGATTCTCACATAATGCAATCACTTGTATTCAGGAGTAGGATGTTTATTCTTTGTATGTATTTATAATGTGTACTTTATATTTTAATTAAATACAATATTTAAATAATTCTATCAGTCATATAGTACACATAGTACAAGTTTAACTTAGTTTAGAATTAAGGTAACAGTATCTTAATAATATTATAATAATTTCCACTTGAAGAAATTTAAAGAATTCATTATTAAAGGTTGATTGAGTCCATACAATATACTGTACTCAAAGGATCTATACAAAATACTGCTCAAAACAAATAATTAAACAACATACACATTGCACTTATGTTATCCAGCTGGGCAAATAGATTTTTTTTTGTATTTAATTAACTACCAGCCCCAACTTTGTTCAGGTGAAAATTTTATATATATATAATTCTTGTGTCACAGTTTTCGTTCCCAGACTCCTCCGAAACGGCTTGATCGATTCTCATGAAATTTTATGTGCATATTGAGTAGGTCAGAGTATCGACCAACATCTATTTTTCATCCCCCTAAATGTTAGGGGTAGTCCACCCTAAATTTTTTTTTTATTTTAAGGTAAAACAACGTTTGCCGGGACAGCTTAGTGTATTATAAATATAAATGTGTTTCATAGGAGATCTAAGTGAAGAGATAATCCAGCTGTCTTTATGCTTAGATCTTCTTCTTGATGATTTCACTTTATACTATATAAAGATGTACAGTATATTACTGATATACAGAACACATTCATGATTTTAGTAGCAGAAATACCCCTACCAAACTCTCTACCAACGAGCCCCAGTGGATCATACGCTTGCTTGAGTGTAGTGAGAGTGACGCGGCCATTGTTGTGACCGAGGGCCACCAGTGGTTCCGGCTGCTCGGTGATCGCACTTATATCAACACAGCGGACGGTACTAGCGCTCTGTGACGCAATTATTGTCGCTCCACGACTCGGTGAGATATGGGAAACTGTAACAGTAACAAGTATACACTTTTATAATAAATTTTAGATTTTTTTTTCAGACTACTCTAATGCTGTTAGACTTAGTTGGCCTTTACAGCTTCACTGGACGATAGGAGGTGAGTGCAGGTGACACTCCAAAACCATGGAAGGACTTATGGAGCACCTGAAGACCAACTCCCGCTTGACAGATACGGCTGTAGTCTAAAGCCACCACTGGGGGTTCAAACCTCAGCCTAGGCCATCGTAAATTCGATCCCCGTTTGAATTGGATGAGGAAGATTGGATTTAGAATAGAAAATAGAACATTTATAAGGTTTCAACTTATTTAAGACAGCTGTACATTGTTTTATTTAATTAAAATAGGATGCTCCACGTTTGAATGTTGTAATAATTGGCTTATTCTGAATCCATATGATTCAGAACAAGCCAATTATTACAACATTCTGAGTCCATATGAATCAATATGATTGGTATGAAATGTCTAGTGACTGAGCACACCTCTTAGCTATCCAAACATTTGTATTGACATAAATTGTGTACAAATGTTATACTACATGAGTTTGGGACTGGATAAGTCTGTTTAAGTTGTCCTGGATTATTATTGTAATAGCATACTGAACTACAGAAATCATAGAACAGTTTTCAACACACAGTTCATGACCTCTTATTTTTATTTATTTCATTTTGGTAATACTTATGTCATTATCATTACGATTAAGTAGTATTAATAAACTACCAGTTCTATTGTATTCCATATAGGATACATTTACTTACATGTTGTTTTTTTATCAATATCTTTGAGACGAGAAACTTCATATAGGGTTATGTCCGAACCCCATATTATAAATTTGTTATGGTGTACAGGGGACCAAATTACGTCCAGCTTAGCACCCGACATCATAATTGTGTTTTCTGTTACGTTCACATAAGTAATATTTTTCTCTTAAAAATTATACAAAATAGGAGACTAAATAACAAAATGTTTTGATTTTTGAGTTCAAAAATATTGTGATTGTGAGTGATTGATGTATTGACGGAAGGATGGAGAGCACAGATGAGAAAAACGTCTGTCATCTATACTTTTTTTTCCTATTTTTAATGGAGTTGCCCTATGCGAAAGACGACAGAAAATATTTTTTTATGGCGTTAATTTACCATATTTTATAATATAATTTTGCCTGTGACATGATCTAATAGTCATAATTTTGGGATACTGAAAAAGAGGTGAAGAGAGTGAAGTAGGTCAACATCCATTTTACCTTCTTCTAAAAGGCAATTACAGTGCTAAACGACTTGTATCAGTCGTCATGAACAAAATTTAAAAAAATGCAAATTGATCACGACAATGTGAACAAACTGTATATTTTACAGGTTTAGTTTCTGTGTCTCTATTTGTCTTTCTGATCTGTGCTCTTATCTGGGAACAGTGAATCTGTGGTTTAAAAATTTTGTGTCCGCTTCGTATTCGTATAATTGTGTTCTGTGATTCATTCGTCATTTTTGAGTTTGACAGAATACTTTTTTTTGTAAATGTGTGTGAATTGTGACTATTGACGAAATAAGTGAAATCAATTTCAGCTGAAACGATATAACACGGTTAAAACCAGTAGTAAGTAAGGTAAGTTAAAACTTGAAATGCTCGTTCAGAAAGCGTGCTGCAAGTGTCTCCTTATTTAGGGTCAATGACGTGATTGTTTACTATTAATGGCAACGCCTCTTGTTCTCCCACAGTTTCTCGTGTATTGTATTGCGGCTCTCACGCGTTGTGGCACTTTTCCCGACCTTATTCATTTGGACGTTACTGCGGTGGTAACGGTGATCCTCTCGTACAGTTAAAAAGTTGTAACTCGTGATCGTCTGACTCACCTAGTTATCATTGATTTTCTTAATAATGCCAGTCGCTACAGCTTATTAGCAGCTCCAGGCGGTCTAGATCATAAAAACTTCTAAATAAGTGTCTGTGTGCAGTAAAACCGTTGACTTTTTTGTTACTGGTGATATTATGAGAGTGTTGAAGCCACTCACGTCTCCTGTCAGCAGGAGTTAGTGCCGAGTGTCTAGTGATGTTCTCTGCTCTAGCATATCAATTATCCACAACATTTCTAGAGGAACAGAAGCAGGTGAGTGTAGCAGTTTTAATTTTTAGCATAGGTTTTTTTAACTTGTAGAAAATTCTTAATCTTGTTCATTTGTCTGTACACAAGTCAGATTTAGGTATATTTAGACATGAAAAAACCACATAGTGGGCATTGGACACCTTACTCTAGGGTGCCAGAGTCATGAGGTTATATGTTTAAATAACCTTATGACTCTGGCACCCTAGTTCATTATTCAGCATTCTGCCATAAATTTGATTTTCCCTTAGCTGCAGACTCATACACTCATAACATTATTTAACAATACATTTTCTAAAGCAATTACTGTTAATTATATGCTTTGTAGATATTATCTCTGATAATATATCTATATAACTATGAAAGATTACATTAGTATGTACACACTTAATATTGAAGATAAAATATCTATGAAATCATTCATAATAGATAATAATTATCTATATCTGTATGTAAATATTGAACTGAATTTTAAATATTGAAATAATTTCTAATATTATAGATTTCACAAATATGTAGTTTTATACTTATTTGGTAATTAAACCAATAATTATATAATTACCACTGGGTCTATATTAATATTATGTCTTTATAATAGAGGCTAAGACAGAGTAGATTCTCTGTCTACTTTTCTCATCAAAATCTAAATGGGATTTTGTAGTTTTCTCTACAAAATATCATCTGAATTTTGTTGTATGCAAACTCTGAAACTGTTTCACTGATCTGAATTGAAAATGAGATCACTTTATATTTTATTACTCACATAAAAATACAGTCAGTTAAATTAATATGTAATATATATATGTAGCATATTATTACTATGACAGTATAAAGATTAATGTAATTATGTAATTATGTTAAAATGACCTGCACTGAAACCGCGGTTCACTCGCTTTAACTTTCAATCAAAATTATTGGACTGTGTGCTTCTGATATATAAGCTATGTTATTGTAAAGTTATATTAAAATTCGTTCAGGTTTTTGCATGAAAGAGTAACAAACATGCATACTTACAAACTTTCGCATTTATAATATTACTAGCTACTCGCCCCGGCTTCACACGGATATACATGTCTTATATACATATATAAATCTTCCTCTTGAAACACTCTATCTACTAAAAAAACTCCTTCAAAATCCGTTGCGTAGTTTTAAAAATTTAAGCATACATAGTGATGGACAGACAGCGACAGCGACTTTGTTTTATACTATGTAAAGATTAAGATATGTTAAAAAAAAATATTCCAAGTATGTCTATCAGTTTTCAAGTACTTATATGGGCCTTTCTCTACTAACTGGAAACTTGTCTATTGAAATTTGTCCTAACCTATTTTTCAGCAAAATTAAAAATATAATGTTTTAAATCGATAGATAGTTATAATATAAATGCATATGAACAAGAAATCATTGTAATTTTCCCTTATTTTTTGAATTATAGGCAATTTTGTAAAAAAAAATGCGGCAGAGGACTGTTTTGCCACCCAGAGTACTGTTTTTTCCACCCCGAGGACAGTTTATATCAATGTTTATTTAAAGAAAAACACAATATTAATTATTAATTGCAATCAAATAAATTTTCTTGTTTATTTAATACTGTATCACATATAGAAATTTTCGTTTTCATCGCCTCTGAATGTGTGTCCTTTAGCATCACAAATTTTTAAGAAGGTTACTGTTACTTCGCCTTCTTCCGTGTCTATGTATCAGCATATTCAGTGTTTCTTACTAGAAATTTATCCACGATGTAATCACCAATCATGCAATCAAGATGTGATAGTGTAATTCTGTTGGTTGATTGAACTAGGTTCAGCCAGTACAACGTCGCTGTGGGTCTCCATTGTGGAATCCTGTGAGTTGTCCATGTTTTCACTTTCAGAGTCTGTGTAAATATCATCTACGTTAAGTTTTGTCTTGTTTTTGTACCCTAACACTCCTAAATTGAAATGCTGGCACTCGTCTTCACAAGTGCAACTTAAACTTTTCATTATGAGTTTCGCGGTACTTGGAGCTAATTCCAGAGGACTTCTTAATATTTTAGCATTTACTTGATGTGTTTTTATAGAGCCATTAAAGTTTTTTAAATTAACTGTTTCATTTTGAATGTCGTCTGTCAATTCTTGGATGGCTTTATCGTCGATCGTGAACAAGGTAATTGCGGAACATCTTCGTTGAATAGCCTCTATACTAATATCTCCAAGTTATCAATATCACCTCCTGTAGTGACGACGGCATTAGCGGTTCTCTTGCAGGTCTCTCCAATGCCAAGTTTTTGACTGCTTCTCTGCGAGCTTCTGGCGAATCACACATTTGGGTAAGTTTAGTGTTAGGTGTGTCTACATTTTCCTTTGTCTTAGCTTTTTCCAAACGTTCTAATCTCTTCTTATATTTCTTGGATTTTTTTCTGTAATACTCTAACTTTTTGTCTTTATCCTTTATAATTTTGTCACGTTTCTTTCTAGCATTACGCTTTCTCGCATTACTTGCATCACTTCGCGGAGTGATCATATGGTATTTTCTCGTACAAAATTATAATTTCTTTCAAAGCTTTTTTTTGCGCGATAGGTAGCACAGTGCTTTCTCAATTCTTTAGTCACAGCTTTGTGTTTACGTCGACTCATATCATGAACTGACTTTCTACAAGAAACTCAGTTCATGATTCCTTTTTCCTTCTTTCATTGGTAGTTTCGACGTACTTTTTCCTTCAGTTGCTCTCTTTTTACTGGGTCATTTTTTAGCCGTTGATGTCTTAATCTTCATTCAATTCGTTTCTGCTCTTCTTTGGTTTTAGGTTTCTTCTTTGGTGACATTGCGGCAATTCTTAAACAATAAAACATACTTTCAATATATAAAAAAACCGTAACGGTTTAGTTACTAGGTACGTATTTTATTTTATACTCCATATGGGACACAGTCACCTAGATACATAAAATAATAAATGCATTTAATAATGTCTAGTAAGACAAATTCAATATTGTCTACTAGGCACTGCTGTATCTAAACTGTGTCACCCCACCTTACATTTTCCTATTGTTATTTAGTATATAAGATCATTATTTCTATGTACACATTGTCAGTTTATCATCATCTGTAATATACATCGTCTCGACCAGCAACATCGTATTATTCACCCGCAACAGTGGTGACCCCGACGTGATCTGGCCGACGGGAAAACGACGAGATCAAGCAAGAGATCTCTGGCTGACGGCATCCTGCGCACCACCAACGATTGCACATTTCCACCGGCTTCCCAGAAGCGGGTCTCACCGGTACGGAAATTCAAGAGGCACAAAAATCGTTGGCTACACTGCGCAACAAGGAACCCTGCCATACTACTGACCGCCATATAATACTGACCAACTGTTCAACTCATCACAACGTTAACAATGGCTCGTCCTATGCCATTAACAGGAACAAACATGCCTAGTACACCGGGCATGTCTGCCACTAGCTGTATAGACATCGCTGCAATAACCGTCACAGAGCGGTTACCTGAGTTCTGGACAGACTCGCCACGTTTGTGGTTTGCACAATTTGAGGCAATAATCGCACCTCAAAAACAAGGCGACGAATATAAATATAATACAGTAATATCCAAACTGCCAAAAGAGGTCGTCCACCAAGTCAGCGATATACTTACAAATCCACCACCAGAGAATAAATACTCAGTCATTAAAGACAGATTGATCGACTGTTATGAGGAGAGCGAGCAAAGACGTTTCCACAAACTGCTCGCAGAAATGAACCTGGGAGATCAAAAACCGTCCCAGTTATTGAGGAAAATGAGAGAAGCTGGTTGCGGGAAAATTAATGAGGATACCATCCGACTATTATGGATGAGGCAGCTTCCTCCATCAGTCACAACCGTTTTAGCGGTTACTGAGCAATTGACGCTGGACAAATTAAGCGAAATGGCCGATCGCATACATGAAAATATGCGATTTAATACAACAATGCAATCAACAGGCACCGCTGACGTAAATACGGTCACACACCTGTCTTCACAACTCGCGACGCTGCAATTAGAAGTTGCTGCACTACGCGAAACTCGCTCGCGACACATAAACCGACGCAGCAATTTCCGATCTAGATCAAATTCGCGCCGTCGGTCAGCGCATAGACAGAGTAATAATTATTGCTATTATCATCGTAGATTTAAAGAAAAGGCATATAAATGTGACCTGCCGTGCTCCTGGAACCATAAAAGACAGCCGTCGGAAAACTAGGCTCAGCACAGAACAAGGCGGAACTCTGTGCTGTTCACCCGTTTAACCGCCTAGCTATAACCGACTCTAACAGTGGTTATAGATTTTTGGTGGATACCGGAGCAAATATCTCGGTGATCAAAAAGCAAGCACAGACCAATGAGAGCGCTAGCGAATTAAAATTATTCGCCGCAAATGGAACCGTGATAAAGACATACGGGGAAAAAACACTAACCTTAAATTTGGGTTTACGACGTTCCTTCAAATGGAATTTCATCATTGCTGACGTCAAAATGCCTATATTAGGCGCTGATTTTCTAGAGCACTACCGCTTATTGGTAGATATACACGGGAAGAGATTAATAGATAAAGTTACAGAGCTCAAAACGCCTGTAAGTTTCATCAAAGCAAACATTCCCTCTGTTCGCTCCATTGACTCCGAACTGCCTAACTCTATAAGGCAACTTTTGGAAGAATATGAAAAAATCACAAGGCCTACATCAATGAATATTCCCGTAGAGCATAAGATCAAACATCACATCATTACAAAAGGATTTCCCGTATGCGCTCGAGCTCGTCCTCTTCCTCCAGATAAATATAAGGCTGCCAAAATGGAATTTCAGGACATGATAGAAATTGGCATATGCAGACCATCAAGCAGTCCATGGGCTAGTCCACTGCACATGGTAAAAAAGAAAAATGGTGAATGGAGACCATGCGGTGATTACCGCGCATTGAATAATATTACCGTACCGGACCGATATCCACTTCCAAGGTTATTGGATTTCTCGTATATTGCTAGTG